TTTTCAGGACAAAGGTCTAAGGCTCAACAACCTCACAGTTCCTTGACTCCCCATTGCCCTGCCCTCCTCCTTTCTTTAACCCACACCCCCTTCCTCCCCCAGCTGCTCCACAGCCAATGGAGAGAAAGACAGCATCACCCTCATCTCCATGAAGAACATCAACATGAATAATGGCAAACAAAGTCTCTCAGCAGAGAAGGTACATTTTTCTGTTTTCTGCCTTCCTTCCCCAAATTCACCTTTCCCCTCCTCCTCCTACTTTCAGGCTAGAAAGGAGATACTCTCAAAAACCCAGGCTCTTCTCCCCTCTTCTCTACTCTGCCACTCCTAAGTTCGCTCTTCCCCATTATGCATTTATTTTGCAGGTTCTTTAAAAGCAACTTTGGGTCCCTGTGAGTCCAAGGATAATGCAGCTGCCTCGTAACTACAAGGAGGAAGAGATGGAATTAGTAGAGGCAATGAACCACATGTAAATTATTTTATTGTTTCATGTCAGCTCCCAGATCTAAAGGACACTAGCATTGCCCCAGATCTGGTAGCAAGCTACTAAGATGAGAGACACTTTCCTATACGGACAGCTGCTGTGGAAATACTACCTGCTTCTCCCACCTTCTCAAAGACACAGGAAAGAGGAGGCGACAGAGCAAGAGCAAGGAAAATGAAGAGGTGGACTGATCTTTTCTACTTTGCATTAAAATTATTTTCTGGCCTGCAGTCTAATTACTTTTAAGGTCTACGCTCCCACGCACATTTCTTAACGGCATGTTCTAGCAGCTTTGGGGCTTTCTTTCCTAGGCCAGACATACATGTAGGTTTCTGCCCCAATGGGCAGCTCTCTGAGAAACTTTGATGGTTGATAGGAAGTTTTTATCAGGTTTTATCAGGTTCACCTGGATTTTGTTGTTGTTGTTGCTTTTTTTTTTTTCTTGAGATGGAATCTCACTCTCTCCCAGGATAGAGTGCAGTGGTGTGATCTCAGCTTACTGCAACCTCTGCCTCCCAGGTTCAAGCAATTCTCCTGCCTCAGCCTCCTGAGCAGCTGAAACTACAGGTGTGTGCCACCATGCCTGGCTAATTTTTGTATTTTTTTAGGAGAGATGGGATATCATCATGTTGGTCAGGCTGGTCTTGAACTTCTGGTCTCATGTGATTCACCCACCTCGGCCTCCCAAAATGCTAGGATTACAGGTGCGAGCCATCGCACCGAGCCATTGTTTTTTCCCTTTTATTTTATTTTCTTCTTTATACTGTTTTGCTAAATCAAAGCCTCAAAAAATTAGCTAAAAACTCAAAGTTGCTCCTCTCCACAGGAATCTTTAGTAAAAGGTGAAAGATTTATGTGATCTGAAGAGAAACCAGAGTATCACCTGGTTTATTAGATAGAGTTGAGGCAACTGACTAACCACTCTAGTAGAGGAGAGAAACAAGGGACTGTAATCAGTCATCACCAAGAAATAAGTTTTGACTCGGAAATGCCAGTGGGGAGAGGTAAATGAGATGTGGGCAAATGTCCTCCACTTGTCCCTGGGTAGACATGCATCACTTTGGTCTTAGCTATGGGATGAACACCGTGAAGGTTTGCGGTGGGGATAGGTCTGTGACTTCATCAACCCAAACCTTCCCCACCTTACTCCATACAACTGTTATCTTGTGTCCTAGATACAGAATAGAAGATTGTGGATACATTGGAAAGTCATTTAAAGAGAAGGAGGAAAAGAAAGGAGGCCTGCTTTCTTAGTCTTAGGCATGTCTACTATAACACTAGTCTGGAAATGAATGTTGGGAAAAATCAAGGGAGGAGTAGTCCATGTGTATTTTCCAGGAGTATTTAACTTTATAAGCACCAGCTAATTGGCAGTTTGGAACACAGGGAGAATACTGCTTACTCATTTTGAAGCAACAGTATGCTATTTTTTCTTTCTTTTTTTTTTTTAAAGATGGGGTTTCACCATATTGGTCAGGCTGGTCTCGAGCTCCTGACCTCAGGTGATCCGCCCACCTCAGCCTCCCAAAGTGCTAGGATTATAGGTGTGAGCCACCGCACCCAGCTCTCAGTATGCTATTTTTTCTGATTCAGACTTCTCAAGGCGATATGAGAGAGACAGCCTAGAACAAAAAGTTTCATTCTCTCTGTCTCATTAAAACTATTAAAATGAGACTGCAGAAAACTAGTGAGCAGGGCATGGTGGCTCATGCCTGTAATCCCAGCACTTTGGGAGGTCAAGGTGGAAGAACGCTTGAGGCAGGAGTTCAAGACCGTTTTATTATTATAAATAATAATATTAAAATATTGTGTTTTATTAGACCGTTTTCACACTGATATAAAGAAATACTGGGTGATTTATAAGGAAAGAGGTTTAATTGACTCAGTTTCGTATGGCTGGGGAGGCCTCAGGAAACTTACAATCATGGTGGAAGGGGAAGCAGGCACCTTCTTCACAAAGCAGCAGGAGAGAGAGTCAGCAAGATCAGGGAAAACTGCCTTCTAAAACCATCAGATCTCGTGAGAATTCACTCACTACCATGAGAACAGCATGGAGGAAATCACCCCAATTATCCAATCACCACCCACCTGGTCTCTCCCTCGACATGTGGGGATTATGGGGATTACAATTCAAGATGAGATTTTCGTGGAGACACCAGCCTGGGCAACATGGCAAGACCTTGTCTCAACAAAAAAATACAAAAATTAGCAGGGTGTGGTGGCACATGCTTGTGGTCCCAGCTACTCAGGGGGCTGAGGTAGGAGATCACTTTCTTCTGGGAGGTAGAGGCTGCAGCGAGCCATGGTTGGTTATACCACTAAACTCCAGCCTGGGTGACAGGGTAAGATGTGAAAGAAAGATAAGAAAAAGAAGAAAGGAAGGAAAGAGGAAAGAAAGAAGAGAGGGAGCGAGGGAGGGAAGGAAGGAAAGAAAAGGAGGCGGAGGGAGGGAAGGAGAGAGGGAAGGAAGGAAAAAAAGGAGGGAGGGAGAGAGGGAAGGAAGGAAGGAGGGAAGGAAGGAAGAAAAAAAGGAGGAGGGAGGGAGAGAGGGAAGGAAGGAAGGAAGGAAGGAAGGAAGGAAGGAAGGAAGGAAGGAAGGAAGGAAGGAAGGAAGGAAGAAAAAAAAGAGAAAAGAACCTACTGTATTCTAAAATCCCCCAGGACAGGGCCTGTAACCTGCCCATGTCTGTAGCTCCTGTGTGACACACTGTGCCCAGTACATCCTAGGTAATATAAACTGGCTCTTGGGTGAAGGAAATCTGGTCATAAAATCGGGCCCTGGCACAGACTTGCAGGTTGACTTTAGTGAAATTGTCCCCTTTCTCCAAGCCTGTTCTCTTACATTTTTACTTTTTTTTTTTTTTTGAGACAGGGTCTCACTCCTTCTCCCAGGCTGGAGTGCAGTGGTGCAATGATGGCTCACTGCAGCCTTGAGCTCCTTAGCTCAACCAATCCTCCTACCTCAGTCTCCTAAGTAGCTGGGACTCTTGGCATGAGCCACTGCTCCTGGCTAATTTTAAAAATTTTTTTGTAGAGGCAGGCTCTTGCTGTGTTGGCCAGGCTGGTCTCAAACTCCTGAGATCAAGTGATCCTCCTCCCTTGGCTTCCCAAAGTACTGGGATTACAGGTGTGAGCCACCATGCCTGGCAGGTTTTAAAGTGAGGTGGCTGGACGACTTGGCCTTCACTATCTTTTCTCATTCTTGTATTCCACAATGCTACAGACTCTAGATGTAAGAACAAATGAACACAGTTTGCTAAGTAGAGATCACTCTGGGTGGGAGCCAGAGACAAGTCTCAAGCGGCTCTGGACAAGCCTTTCACATTTTCAGAAGTTCCAATTCTCCTGCATACTAACAGGGAAGAATGCCCCCTACCTAGTCCTGGCTACCTCACTGGCTAGTGGCTAGGTAAAATGGGATAATACATGTGGAGATTCTTGGGAAGTGAGCAATTGTAGCAGACAGCTTGGAGTGGGGTACCAGCACCCAGGCCCCACGTTAGGATCAAGGCACTTGTTCCCCACACCTGGGTGTTGGCTGCTGAGGACTTACAGCTAGTCAATGATTGTCTGATGGGGGTTGGGAGTGCGGATGAAGACCTGGACCCCTTACCTCAATTCTCCTCCCCACATTCCTGCTTCCCTTATCCTCACAGCTGTTGTTCCAGGAGAGCTCACCAAGAAACCTTTAGTGTGCAAATCTCAGCGTCTTGGAGTCTATTTTGTGGGGGTACCTAACCTATGAAGGCAATACTACAGTATTTTTTCGGGGGAGGGAAGATAGGGTCTGGCTCTGCCATCCAGGCTGGAGTGCAATGGCACAATCATAGCTCACTGCAACCTCGAACTCCTGGGCTCAAACGATTCTCCTGCCTCAGCCTCCTAAGTAGCTGGGACTATAGACATGTGCCACCACCACTGCTAATGCATTTAAATTTTTTGTAGAGATGAGGTCTTGCTACGTTGCTCAGGCTGGTCACGAACTACTGGGCTCAAGAGATCCTCCCACTTCGGCCTCCTGAAGTGCTGGGGTTACAGGTGTGAGCCATCACTCTTGGCTAGTTTTTGAGACAGAGTTTCATTCTTCTTGCCCTGGCAGGAGTGCAATGGCTTGATCTCAGCTCACTGCAACCTCTGCCTCCCAGGTTCAAGCAATTCTCCTGCCTCAGCCTCCCAAGTAACTGGGATTACAGGTGCCCACCACCATGTCTGGCTAACTTCTGTATTTTTAGTAGAGACAGGGTTTCAACATGTTGGTCAGGCTGGTCTTGAACTCCTGAGCTCAGGTGATCCGGTCACTTTGGCCTCCCAAAGTGCTGGGATTACAGGTGTGAGCCACTGCGCCCAGCCTTGGCTAATATTTTTTAAATAATTCATATATATTTGATTTAAATCTCACAGCCAACAGCACATGGCTTACTAGCCAGTTCTGGTCTAACATCCACCATTGGGGTGGAACCCCCTCAGTGACATAACAATGTCTGGGATTCTGTTTGTGCTGTTGTTATTCTGCCTGCCATGGGCACTCAGTACACCTGCTTGCCATACCGGACTAAACAGGTCAAGGACATGGGGCTTCACCCTAGGAAAGTCGGCTGACATCTTCAGTATAAAACCACACATTTTCCTCTGACTCTGGGCAATGACCTGCACATAGGAGCTATTAGTCACAAGGTATTTCTATGTGGGGGAAGAGGGAGAGAACTGGTATTAATAATCTTCAAGATTGAAAGGCTTTTACCCTGACACTGACACCTCAGTACCACATGAGCCATGTGGATTTTCCTGTTGCTATGTAACTCTATCCTTTGGGAAGGGGTAGAGGATGAACTCAATGCTGAATTCTGCTGTTGGCAAACCCTAGTAGGGAGGTTTCTTGTGGAAGATCCTACTATTTATGCAAATCCAAGACCCCACCTCTGACAGGAAATCTGAGTGCAGCCTTCTGCAGCCCTTGCGGCTTCCCTGAAACCCTCTCTCTTCCTTGATGTCTAGTCAACAGGATGATGGTCATTTACAAGATGACTTCCTCCTTTTTCTCACACAGGACTACGTGGTCCTAAAGCAGGAACAGGTGGCAGGGATGGGGGACTGGTGGCAGATGTCTTTCTCTCATTTCTTCCCCCATCCTGTGGGAGGGCAACCAATAAACCAGCTCAGACATGCAGGCCCAGTGGGACAGGAGGATCATTTACTCAGCTTCTTTCTTCTAGGGCTGGATAGGGCAGCATCTTAGTCATACAGGGCACAGGACAAACCTCAGTATCACCAACAAAAATCCACTACAGTTCAACACATATTGTTAAAAAGTAAGTGGAGGCTAGGCATGGTGGCTCATGCATGTAATCCCAACACCTGGGAAGTCTCCGGTGCGAGAATCGTTTGAACCCAGGAGTTCCAGGCCAGCCTGGGTAACATAGTGAGATCCTGTATCGACAAAAAAAAAAAAAAAGCTGGGCATAGTGACATGCGCCTGTGGTCCCAGCTACTCAGGAGGGTAAGGTGGGAGGATCACTTAAGTCCAAGAGATCAAGGCTGCAGTGAGTTGTGATAGCGTCACTGCACTCCAGCCCACATGACAGAATAAGACCCTGTCTCTAAACACAAAAACGTAAGTGGAGAAAACTGAAAGAAACCTGAGGCTGTCCCTAAGGTGAAATGGTTTAGCAGATGAAGGATCACTGCAGGCCCCCTAGTTCTGACACACAGTTTCCCTCAGCCTGGCTAGGACTACTCAATTCCATTTGAATGTGCCGGAAAACACTGTGTGATTCTGTACACCAGTCTTTTCCCGGGTTTGTGGATGTCCTCCTTTCTCTCCTCTTCGAACTTCTTTCCACACCTATCTCCTTCTGTTTGAGAACTGCCTTGGAGATCCCAATCTCTCTTCCCTTACCTCCTTCCCAGCTACCCTCTCACTCTTCCTGTGGGTTGCTTTCTCCTGGCATCTCCATCCTGTACCCTTTGGGCCCATAGCTTCCTCTTTTACAAAACACAGAAATTGAACTTGACAGTGGGGACTATTTTTGCTAACTAGCTGATGTGTTTAAGCAAAAACTGACAGAGAAATGTTCTCATTGTTGAGCTTTTGAGTTCCATGTTAGTCCAAATTATACGATCTTAAGAAAAATTCGGCCAGACACAGTGGCTCACGCCTGTAATCCCAGCACTTGGGGAGGCCAGAGTGGGCAGATCACCTGAGGTCGGGAGTTCAAGACCAGCCTGACTGACATGGAGAAACCCCATCTTTACTAAAAATACAAAAAATAGCTGGTGTGGTGGCGCATGCCTGTAATCCCAGCTATTCGGGAGGCTGAGGCAGAAGAATTGCTCGAACCTGGGAGGCGGAGGTTGAAGTGAGCCGAGATCGCGCCATTGCACTCCAGCATGGGCAACAAGAGCAAAACTCTGTCTCAAAAAAAAAGAAAGAAAGAAAGAAAAATTCATCCAGAAGTGTTAGCTGAGGTGTAAACAAACTGAAGAATACATTCGGATACTTGGCAATATTTGAGAAGGTCATAATGCGAACTCATTTTTGTTACTGTTATAGAAGTAAATGAAAAGAAGTCTAGAAAGGAAGGGGATGGAAGGTTTCAGAGGATGAGGATAGAGGATGCTTAGCTACCAGACAGCTGCTGAGATTTGAGAAGAGACCCCAGCTTCCCAAATCTTGTCCAATACTCTTGACACAGGCTCTGCTCCTAAATAGTCTCATAATTCATAGTTCTTCTTCTCAATCCAGTTAACCCCTACAGTAGTGCTCTAGCAGCCCATTCTCAGCCAAATATCTCTGACTTCATGGTATTCTAGTATCTCCAAGTAGTGCCTCCAGACCTTTTCCCTGTGTCCCTGGACTCCAAGGTCCACCCCACCCTCAGCTGTTCATCTTCTAGAGCAGGTGGTCTAGCCTCCCAAAACCAGAAAAACTTCCTTTTTATATTCAAACACCTGATAGATGTCCCTGATCAGGTCCCTCAGCTGCAGAGCACAAGTGGCACCTTCAGGATCCAGCTTTCTGTGAGCACACTGCTACCTTGATTAGATTAGGTAGTCAGAGGTCCAGTGTCCCGGAGCTGAGCTTTTGACTCATCTCATGGTTCTGGGGCCTCCTTTGCCTCTCAAGTTTCAGGGCATACATAATTCATCAGATTTAGGATGACCCGACACCTTCTCATACTATTTCACTTTTGCCATCTTCTTCTCTTTTTGAAAGGCAGAAAAATCACCGGATTTAGTGGCTGGATTCAGAGGTTAGGGTGCATGAAAAGCAGCTTCTCAGCCCTTTTTGGCAGTGTTTTGCTTCTTGTCCTATTTTCAGGTAATGATTGCCAGATACACAGGAATGAGGTCCAGCTAATCATATCCAAGACTTTACAATATGCCCAATATACACCCCTTCACTCCTAATTTACAGTGTCAAACCATAAAAAATGGTTTTTCTTCCTCCGAGCCAGTCTATAACAGTGGCCAACATTTATTAAACACATACTACATGCCAGATGAGGTGCTAAAAGCTTGACAAGCATTATCTTATTATATCCTACAGCGATCCTATGCAGATTTTTTAACCACTATGCTAAATTCCTCCTCCTAAATGAAGTAAAAATGACCAAATTTCTAGACAACTGTTACTTTCTCAGTGCTTATGGAGGTGGGGGTGGGGGAAGAATGCTGTCTTTAAGTGCTCCAGGAGAAACTGATATTACAAATGACACAAGCCTTTAGTGGTCAACTACTTTGGTAGTTTTCTTTTTTTTTTTTTTTTGAGATGGAGTTTCGCTGTTGTTACCCAGACTGGAGTGTAATGGCACAATCTCGGCTCACCGCAACCTCCGCCTTCTGGTTCAAGCAATTCTCCTGCCTCAGCCTCCCGAGTATCTGGGATTAATCTGGATTACAGGTGCACGCCACCATGCCCAGCTAATTTTTGTATTTTTAGTAGAGACGTGGTTTCACCTCGTTGACCAGGATGGTCTCGATCTCTTGACCTCGTGATCCACCCGCCTCAGCCTCCCAAAGTGCTGGGATTATAGGCGTGAGCCACTGCACCTGGCCTAGTTTGGTAGTTTTCAAACATGTGGGTTTTCTTTCTGCTAGTAGACCACAAAATACAAAACAGAAAAAAGCAGAGCTGCTTTGATTGAAGAAGAGTAAAGTGCTAGTGCCTTTCCTGCTATGCCTTCCTACCCCCTCCCACTCCTCAATAGAAGATCCCAGAGACATCTACACATTGAGCCTTAAGGATTCCTCAATGTGTAGATGAATTGAATCCAACCTTCTCATTTTATAGGTGAGGAGACTGAGGCCAAAGAAGAAGGAAAAAGGAGTTGTTCAGGATCACACAATGATTTGTGCAAAACTCCAACTATTAATATAATGCCCATACAATTTCTAGGCCAGTGCTTTTTCCACTGAGAGGCCTTGTTCTCTAAGTTCTTAAGTGGGCACGATGTCAGTGATGCCCGGGCTGTGACTGCAGGAAAGGGCTGGAACTGCATGCCCTCTGGGGCTTTTACCCTTCCAAGTTTATGTCCAGGAATATACATCTCTCCCCACTGCCTATGTCGGTTCTAGTTGATACCATGATTGATTTGATCTTCTTGGGTAAGATCTCAGTGAATTCCGGGTAATTTTTTGTTTGGAGATGAAATATAGCCATCCACCTATGAAGAAAGAGTTGCTTTTATTCTTTGCTAGGCTCCACCCATAACTGGATGGGAAACAGCAGGAATATTTATTTCCTCATTTCCTTTTTACTAATCTCAATGTCTAGTCCTTCAGAAAAGAAAGGAATGGACTAAAGAGACAACTGGGCTGGAAGAGAGGCAAAGAGTGCCAGAGGGGGTTGGAGTAGGACGGGTTGGAGGAAGGACCGGAACAGCAAAGATGGAGGCTCTATCTTTCCATGTCTTCTTTCTCCATCCTGACACTCTCTGATGTCGAGTGCCTGAGGAGCTGCGGCAGTAGGGGCATACCAAGATTGCCCTCCAATCCCATAAATCTACATCACTTTTCTATTTTCTTGACTCTTAAGCTTCCAAAGGCTGGGGTCGGCATCTCCAAAACCCATCTCTGAATCTCCAGGGCCTACCACTGACTTTGCACAGAACAGGCATTAATATATGCTTCAAAGACATCCCTGAGGAGCATAATAGTCATACTGACACTCTCGAGCCTATAGTTTGCAAAGCCCTTCCCAGGCAGGACCTTAGACGCCCCTCCTTGAATGTCCCGAGGGTTAGGCGGAGTCGAAGTGTCTATTGCAACCCTACAAATGAGGACAGCGGTGCTGCAGGCAGCTAGCAGCAACACTCTTCCACAGGTCTCCTGTCGAAGGTCAAGCCCTTCTCTGCATCTCCCACGGCCTCTGGCGCAGAGCCTGCCGGGAGTTGTAGTCCAGTACCCCAGGAGCTCGTATAGCCTGGACTACAATAACCAGCGTGCCCCGCGCTCCGCGCCCCCTTCTCTTTCAGCCTCGGGCGCCGGGAGGCTAGGCGGACCTGCTGATTGGGAACCGAGATGGCAGCGACTCTGGGCAGTGGGGAACGCTGGACGGAAGGTACTAGGTCCCCGCCTGAGGGAGGGACAGGGCTGTGTTGCGGAGAGATCAGGGATGAGAATCTTGAAGATGCACAAGGGCTGAGATACTGGGCCTGAGGTGAGGGATGGAGGCCTGTAAGAAGATGCTGAGCCAGAGTAGGATGTGGTAGGGAAGCTGGGACCGACGGCGAGCCAGAGTCACCAGTGACGACTTGTTGCCTGCGGTCCCCAGCCCCGCCCCCACCCCCGTCCGTGCTCCGCCCAGGACCCGCAGCGGGTCAGGCCCCGCCCGTCCCAGGGTGACTGGAGGGCCCGTGGGGTGCTGCGGTCTCCCCACAGCTTGCTAACCTAGCCCCTATCCTCCGCCTAACTGGGCCACCTGACCTTCAGTCCCTGTTTGATCTTGGGGCTCCAGCCGGCATCAGGACTAGCCTTTTCCATCCTACAGTCAGGCAAAAAGTATTGATCCAGTACCTATTGTGTGCTCCGCATTATGCTGATTCTGCAGCGAGGATTTGACTGACACGAGTTCCTTAGCTCACAAAACTCGCAGCCCACTGAGAGAGTTTGATGACTGAAGAGCCATTTACAAAACAGGCTAATAATACAAAATGGCCTGGGCTACATAGCAAGGTCAGGGATTTGGGAGCACACTGACAAGGCATCTAATGCAGACTGGCTGTCAGGGGAGGCTTCTTGCAGAAAGTGTTAGAAACGGTGACAAGAAGGATGTGTTGGAGTTGGAGTTAGCTAGGCCTATTTAGAGGAAGTGTGTCCAGGAGCAGTGGGGTAGTAGCTGAGGGATGTTAAGCAGAAGAAAGATGTTAAAGCCTTTCCCCGGTCCTCCAGAGAAGATGTCAGTGCTCTGCCCCTTTTGACTGAATTGCTTAGAACCCTCTTTACATTCTACAGGTGTTATTATTGAATCTTCTCCCTTTAAACCAGGGGTATCCAACCTTTTGGTTTCCCTGGGCCACATTGGAAAAAGAATTGTGTTGGTGTCTTGGGACACACATAAAATTCACTAACACTGATGACAGCTGATGAGCTAAAAAAAAAATTGCAAAAAAATCTCATAATGTTCTAAGAAAGTTTACAAATTTGTGTTGGGCTAAAAGCCATGGTGGGCCTCATGCCACCTGTGGGCCAAGGGTTGGACAAGCTTGCATTAAACTGTAACCTCTTTGTGGTCAAGAGTAGGTCTTACTCATCTGCCCCCTTGATCTATCTAGCCAAGTGCCTTGGTACATATTAGTTCTATAATTGTTAGTTCAAAAGAATTGAACTCCTCTCTACTTTAAATCTTAGGGATGGGAGGCACTGCAACAAAAAATGCTATTTTATGAGCAGTGTCTCTTCTGACCATTGACCACAGAGAAACAGATGTTTATTCAGCCTCATATGAATGCTTAAAAGTCAGCATGACCTCCTTAGCCCTGGCCATCATGCTTACCTTCTCATGCTTATGAGCAGCCCCTAGAGAGTTAAGGCAGGTTGAAAAGTTGATTTTCAGGGTCAGATGGAGACCTAATGGAGGGGCTGTTGCTTTGCAGCTTACATTGATGCAGTTAGAAGAAACAAATACCCAGAAGACACACCACCTGAGAGTCATGACCCCTGTGGCTGTTGTAACTGCATGAAGGCACAAAAGGAAAAGAAGTCTGAGAATGAATGGAATCAGACCCGGCAGGGTGAGGGGAACTCCACTTATAGTGACGAACAGCTGCTTGGGGTACAAAGGTGAGCACGTGGTGGGATTAATTGAGTGATTTTATGGTAAGTGCTTAGAAGAGTACCGGGTTGTGCTATGTAAGTATTGACTGATGACAATCATGATGATTGAAGCATACTAGCTTCGTGACCTCAGAGGGAAGACTGAGTAGAAGTGGAATATTAGGGTATAACATGAACTGACTACCTGCTTCTGCTTTAAGAGAGGCAGCAGAAACCAACTAGACACAACACACATTTATAGAACATTCTATCAACAACAACAGAATCATTTTCTTCTTAAGGATACACAGAATATTCTCCAGGGTAGACCATATCTTAAGCCATAAAACAAGCCTCAGTAAATTTAAAAAGATTGAAATCATAGTATATGTTCTCTGAAGTCAAAAACAGAAGGAAATTTGAGAAATTCACAAATATGTGGAAATTAAACTACAAGCTCCTAATAAGCAAATAAGTCACAGAATAAATCACTAGGAAAATTAGAAAATGCTTTGAGTTGAATGAAAATGAAAACATGACATACTAAAATATATAGGATGCAGCTTAAACAGTGCTTAGAAGGAAATTTATAGCTCTAAATGCTTATGTATTTTTTTAAAGACCTCAAATCAGTAACCTAATCTACCTTAAGGAACTAGACATCCTGGACAACATAGTGAAATCCTGTCTCTACAAAGAAGAAAAATTAGCTTGGTGTGGTGGCACGTGCCTGTAGTCCCAGCTACTCGGGAGGCTGAGGCAGGAGGATTGCTTGAACCCAGAAGGCTGAAGCTGCAGTGAGTCATGATTGCACCACTGCACTCCTGCCTGGACAACAGAGCAAGACCCAATCTCTCAAAAAAGGAAGGAAGGAAGGAAAGAAGGAGGGAAGGAAGGAAGGAGGGAGGGAAGGAGGGAAGAAGGGAGGGAAGGAAGGAAAAAAGGATATCCCTACCAATCTAAATACTATGCAAACAAACTAGATAACCTACGTAAAATCAACAAATGCCTAGAAAGATACAAATTACCGAAACTGACTCAAGAAAAACTGGAGGCCAGGCACAGTGTGGGTCATACCCTTAATAGTGCTTTGGGGTGCTCAGGCAGGAGGATTGCTTGAGACCAGGAATTTGAGATCAGCCTGGGCAATATAGCAAGACCCCATCTCTAAAAATAAAAAAAAAAAAAAAAAAACCTGGGCATGGTGACACATGCCTGTGGTCCCAGCTACTTTAGAGACTGAAGCAGGAGGATACTTGAGCCTAGGAGTCTGAGGTTACAGTAAGCTATGATAGTTCCACTGTACTGCAGCCTGGGTGAGAGTGAGACCTTATTTCCAAAAAAAAATTCCAAGTAGACCTACAACAAATAAAGAGATTGAATTAACAATCAAAAAACTTTTGGCTGGGCATAGTGGCTCATGCCTGTAATCCCATTATTTTGAGAGGCTGAGGTGAGAGGATGACTTGAGCACAGAGTTCAAGACCAGCCTGGCCAACATGGCAAAACTTCATCTCTACAATAAAAAACAAACAACAAAAAAAAAAAACCCACAAAAATTAGCCAAGCATGGTGGTGCACACCTGTAGTCCCAGCTGCTCAGGAACCTGAGGTGGCAGGATCGATGGAGCCTGGGAGGTAGAGACTATAGTGAGCAGTGATTGCACCACTGCTCTCTAGTTTCAGTGGCAGAGGGAGAGCCTGTCTGAAAAAAAAAATTCCAATGAAGAAAAATCCAGGTCCAGCTTGCTTCACTGGTGAAGTCTATCAAACATTTGAGGAAGAATTAGCACTAATCCTTCATAAACCCTTATAAACTACAAGTGTAGGAAATACTTCCCAAACTCATTCTTTGAGGTATTACTCTGTAACCAAAACCAGACAAAATTCATAAGAAATATAATATCAGATAAAATATCATAAGAAAACTGTTGGCTGGGTATGGTGGCTCATGCCTGTAATCCCAGCACTTTGGGAGGCCAAGGCAGGCAGATCACAAGATCAAGAGTTTGAGACCAGCCTGGCCAATATGGTGAAACTAAAAATACAAAAGTTAGCCAGGCGTGGTGGTGGGAGCCTGTAGTCCCAGCTACTTCAGGAGGCTGAGGCAGGAGAATTGCTTGAACCCGGGGGATGTAGGTTGCAGTGAGCTGAGATCGTGCCATTGCACTCCAACCTGGGTGACAGAGTGAGACTCCATCTCAACAACAAAAGAAAACTAAACTATCAACCAAGATCCCTTATGGATATAGATTTTAAAATATTCAATAAAATACTAGAAAAACAAAGCAATGTAAAAAGTATTATACATCTTGACCAAGTGGGATTTATCCCAGTATTGCAGGATTGTATAACACACAAGTCAATATAACATACTATGTTAATACAATGAAGGACAAAAATCACATGATCATTTCAATAGGTACAGAAAAAGCATTAAACAAAATCCAACACTCTTTCATAATACAAAACACTCAAAAAGCCAGGGATAAAAGGGAACTTTTTAACCTGATAAAGTTCATCCACAAAAATCCACAGTTAAAACATCATACTTATAGGTGAACAACTGGGTGTTTTCCCACCAAGATCAGAAACATGACAAGTATGTCTGTTTACTCTTGCCACTTCTGTTCAGCATTGTACTAGAGGGTCAAGTCAGGACATTTAAGCAAGAAAAAGAAATAATAGCCATCCAGATTAGAAAGAAAAGTAAAACTACATCCACAGATAACATGATTTTGTAAATAGAAAATCCTAACAAATACACACACACACACACACACACACACATACACACACACCTTTAGAACTAATAAGTTGAACAAAGTTATAGGATATAAGATCAATATATAAAAATTATTGTTTTCTATATATTAGCAATGAACAATCAAAAAATGAAATTAAGAAAATATATTGAAGCTGAGTGTGGTGGCTCATGCCTGTAATCCTAAAACTTTGGGAGGCTGAGATGGGAGGATTGCTTGAAGATCAAGACCAGGCTGAACAACATAGCAAGATCCTGTATCTAGTAAATAAAAACTTAGCCAGGTATAGTGGTGTGCCCCTGCAATCCCAGCTACTCAGGAGGCTGAGGTAGGTAGATCCCTTGAGCCCAGAAATTCAAGACTGCAGTGAGCTATGATCATCCCACTGCAGTCCAGCCTGGGTAGCAAAGCAAGACCCTGTCTCTATAAATAAATAAATAAATAATTTTTTAAAAAGAAAATACTGTTTGCCTTTGAGCAACACAGGTTTGAATGGCATGGGTTTGAAATGTAGATTTTTTTTTTTTTTTTTTTTTTGAGACAGAGTCTGGCTTTGTCGCCAGGTGCCAGGCTAGAGTGCAGTGGCGCAATCTTGGCTCACTGCAACCTCCGCCTCCCGGATTCAAGCAATTCTCCTGCCTCAGTCTCCCAAGTAGCTGGGACTGCAGGTGCATGCCACCACACCCAGCTAACTTCTTTTTTTTTTGTATTTTTAGTAGAGATAGGGTTTCACCATGTTGGCCAGGCTGGTCTCGAACTCCTGACCTCAGGTGATGCACCTGCCTCAGCCTCCCCAAAGTGCTGGGATTACAGGTGTGAGCCACTGAGTGCAGCCCTGACTCTTTTTTTTTTTTGAGATAGAGTTTCGCTCTTGTTGCTCAGGCTGGAGTGCAGTGATGAGATCTCAGCTCACTGCAACCTCCACCTCCTGGGTTCATGTGATTCTCCTGCCTCAGCGTCCCGAGTAGCTGGGACTATAGGTGGGCGCCACCATGTCCAGCTAATTTTTTTGTATTTTTAGTAGAGATAGGGTTTCACCATTTTGGCCAGGATGATCTTGATGTCTTGACCTCGTGATCCTCCTGCCTCGGGCTCCCAAAGTGCTGGGATTACAGGCGTGAGCTACAGTGCCTGGCTTGGATTGCCTTTTAAAAGTTATTTTGGATTAACTTGGTGTATGGTGCACGCCTATAGTCCCAGCTACTTGGGAGGCTGATGCAGGAGAACCCAGGAGTTGGAGGCTGCAGTGAGCTATAATCAAGCCACTGCACTCCAGCCTACGTGACAGGGATCCTACGCTGTCTCTAAAAACTAATAAAGTTCTTTTGGCCCTGGCCACTCAGAACTCCATGAGTTCAACACCAAAGGCATGAAAGTGGTCTACTTGCCCCCATATGCATCTCTAATTTCAGCCTCTAGATCAGGAAGGGGGTCATAAGAACCTTTAAGTCTCGTTACACATAATGCTCTATAGAAAGGATTGTCAACACTATGGAAGAGGACCCCAATAAAGAGAACATCCTGAAGGTCTGAAGGGATTACACCATTCAAGAGTCCATCATTGTTACAGAAAAAGCTGCGAAAGCCATCAGCCCCAAACAATAAATTTCTGCTGGAGAAAACTGTGTCCAGATGTTGTGCATGACCTCATAGGACTGACTACAGAGCCAATCAAGGAAATGATGAAAGACATCAAAGATGCAGTGCCAGAAAACAAATTGACATTAGACCATATGGAAGATGGGTTCCAGTTATTTGGGACTGCTTTTGACTTCTTTTACAACATGGACCCTTTTATGTAACAGACAATGAACACTAAAGCAAGCAGTGGAAGGAGGATTGATACTGACTGGAAACATTTTTAGAGACATTTAAAAAATAAAACAAAACAGAAAAGTTAGCCAGGCACAGTGGCTCACACCTGTAATCCTAATACTTTGGGAGGCTAAGGCGGGCAGATTACCTGAGGTCAGGAGTTCAAGACCAGCCAGGCCAACATGGTGAAATCCCGTCTGTATTAAAAATACAAAAAAATTAGCTGGGTTCTCTAGAGGCTGAGGCAGGAGAATCGCTTGAACCTGGGAGGTGGAAGTTGCGGTGAGCCGAGGATTGTGCCACTGCACTCCAGCCTGGGCAATGAGAGCAAAACTCTGTCTCAAAAAAGAGAAAAATAATGAGGTAAGCCAGGCGTGGTGGCTCATGCCTGCAATCTCAGCATTTTGGGAGGCCAAGGCAGGTGGATCACTTGAGGTCAGGAGTTTGAGACCAGCCTGGCCAATATAGTGAAATCCTGTCTCTACTAAAAATACAAAAAATTAGCTGGGTATGGTGGCACAATCTTGCAGTCCCAGCTACTCAGGAGACTGAGGCAGGAGAATTGCTTGAACACAGGAGGCGGAGGGAGGTTGCAGTGAGCCGAGATCGTGCCACTGCACTCCAGCCTGGGTTCCATCTCAAAAAAAAAAAAAAGGAATGAGGTAGATATATGGTACTAGTTAACATTTATTTAGTATTAGATGCTTTCAAGCTCTTTAATGAAGACTAATCATAAAATCAACTCTGAGAAATATAGGTATAATTATTAGCCCATTTCAGAAGATAACACCAAGCTATAGAGGTTAAGTACACAGCAAAATCAAATCTAAACCAAGGTATCTTGACTCCAGAGTTCATCTCTAGTCCAGCAGTTCTCAAAGGTGTTTGGGGAGCCCCAAGACCCTTTTAAGGGATAGGTCTACAAGTTTAAAACTGTAGTCATAATGATACAAGCATGTTACTTATCTTTTTCACTGATTTTCTCATGATTATACAGTAGAGTTTTTGAGAGGCTACATGACATGTAATTATATCATCACTGTTTAGAAAATTTTTGTTTTCATTTGTGGTATAGTAAATGTGGATTGATACAAGTCATATAAACGAAAGCTCTTTTGAGGTCTTTGGTAATTTTTTTCTCTTCCTGGACCATGCCTATCAGTAATTTTTTTAGAGTATACAGTGTTGCTGAGATCAAAAGTTCGGAACTGCCACTCTAGCCTAAACTATTGTCTAGTCTAAACTATTATTCTATACTCATCTCTATATGTTAAGGATTGATCTCCAAGATACGTTGTTTTTTGGTTTTGTCTTTTAGAGACAGGATCATGCTCTGTTACCCAGGCTAGAGTGTAGTGGAATAATCACAGCTCGCTGCAGCCTCAAATTCTTGGGCTTAAGTGATCCACCTGTCTTGGCCTCCTGAGTAGCTGGAACTCTAGACACAAGGCACCATGCCTGGCTTTTTAAAATTTTTCATAGAGATAGGGTCTCACCATTCTGCCCAGGCTGGCCTCAAGCTCTTGGCCTCAAGCAATCCTCCCACCTCAGCTTCCCAAAGCACTGGGATTACAAGTTTGAGCCAACATGCCCAGCACCCCCCCAAAAAAATTTTTTTTTAAGAGACAGGGTTTCACCATGTTGTCCATGCTGGTCTTGAACTTCTGACCTCGTGATCCACCTGCCTCAGCCTCCCAAAGTGCTGGGGTTACAGGTGTAAGCCACTGCACCTGGCCTTTTTTTTTTTAAACAAAAGCAAGATGTAGAAAGGTGATTATGTTTCCATTTAGGTAGGAAAAAAAAATGAAGAGGACTATACCTGTATTCTTTCTCTACCTAGGATCCACAGAAAACTTCTAATGATAGTTGTCCCTGTGGTGGGATACTGGGGGATAGGGAATGATCAAGCAGGAGAATTTTTACTATATAAACTTTAGTTCTGTTGGCTCTTTTTCTTCTATCCTGTGTATGTTAACTTTTTAAAAACACAGTTTAGCCAGGTATGGTGGCTCACGCCTGTAATCCCAGCATTTTGGGAGAGCGAGGTGGGAGGATCATGAGATCAGGAGATCGAGACTAACCTGATGGTCAGGCTGGTCTCGATCTCCTGACCTCATGATGGTGTTTTAGTAGAAACACCATCTCTACTAAAAATTCAAAAAATTAGCCGGGCCTGGTGACGGCGGTTGCATTGAGCAGAGATTGCACCATTGCACTCTAGCCTGGGCAACAAGAGCAAGGCTCCATCTCAAAAAATAACCAAAAAACAAAAACAAACAAACAAACAACAACGACAAAAACACAGTTTAAAAAGATAGCCATAGGAAAAAGAGAGAAAAAATTATAGACAAACAGGGAGATTAACTGTTTCTTTTGGCTTTGCTGTCCTGTGGTTCATCTCTCAGGATGTTAGCCTGAACCTTGGTGTAAGGATTAGCATACTTATTCTACTCACTTGCAGGGATATAGGAAGAATATATAGTACATGTAAAAGTACTCTGAAAGGCATTAAGTTCTGGGTGGGAGAAGGACATTGTTAATGAATGTGAATGTTTCATTAACGTGTGCACTAATTTTCTCATAGGTTTGTTTTGGGTCCCACAGATTGGAAGGAAGATGGATGTATTGTTTTGCAGTTAGTTGTACAAAAGGGGCCTTTATAGACATACCTGTTTGTTATTTTTTTTAGGATCAAGAAATGCAGAAATTACTATGAAATTCTGGGAGTTCCTCGAGATGCCAGTGATGAAGAGCTTAAGAAAGCTTACAGAAAACTCGCCCTGAAATTTCACCCTGACAAGAACTGTGCTCCTGGAGCAACAGATGCTTTCAAAGGTCTGATCCTGAACCAATGCTCAGTGCTGCCCTTGTCATGGTTGGTCATAATAAGTTGTTTTTAGCCTTCCCCATAGTTGTTTTATGAGGCCATAAGGAGGGGTTTTCCCCCTGCACACCTCTTAAATAGTGATTATGAGCGCAGCTCCCACTTGATTTTATCCACTTACCTTAATTGTTCTTTCTTTTCTTTCTTTCTTTCCTTTCTTCCTTTTTCTTCCTCTTCCTTTCTTTCCTGTTTTTTTTTTTTTTTTTTTTGAGACAGGGTTTCACTCTGTCACCCAGGCTGGAGTGTGGTGGCACCATCTTGGCTCATTGCAACCTCCGCCCCCAGGGCTCAAGTGATCCTCCCACCTCAGTCTCCTGAGTAGCTGGGACTACAGGTGAGCACCACCATGCTTAGCTCATTTTTGCATCTTTTGTAGAGATGGGGTTTAACCGTGTTGCACTGGCTGATCTCAAACTCCTGAGCTCAAGCAATCTGCCCACCTAGACCTTCCAAAGTGCTGGGATTACAGGTGTGAGCCACTGTGCCTTTTCTCCATGAAATTTTAAAAAATATATTCTTTAGGCTGGGTGCAGTGGCTTACTCCTGTAATCCTAACACTTTGGGAGGTCGAGGTGGGTGGATCACTTGAGGTCAGGAGTTTGAGACCAGCCTGGCCAACATGGCAAAACCTCGTCTCTACTAAAAATATAATAACCAGCTGGGCGTGGTGGCGCATGGCTGTAATCCCAACTACTCGGGAGGCTGAGGAAGTAAAATCGCTTGAATTCAGAAGGTGGAGGTTACAGTGAGCTGAGATCATGCCATTACACTCCAGCCTGCATGATGGGAGGGAGACTCCATCTCAAAAAAATAAAAAATAAATATATTCTTTTTAATTTTATTTTTAAAAAACTTTTTCAATTTTCTTTTGGTGCTGTGACTCAAATGAAATATATTCTTTAAAAATATTTTGTACCCAACACATGAGTACAAATCTTAAGAGCTTCACCTGGCCAGGCATGGTGGCTCACACCTGTAAACCCCAGCACTTTGAGAGGCTGAGATGGGAGGATTGCTTGAGCTCAGGAGTTTGAGACCAGCCTGGGCAACATAGTGAGAGCTCATCTCTACTAAAAATAAAAATAAAAATAATTATTTTGGGAGGCTGAGGTGGAAGGATTGCTTGAGCCAGAGATCAAGGCTGCAGTGAACCGTGATTGAACCACTTGCACTCCAAGTCATTGTTTCAGGCAAAGATCATCAGTGAATGCTAAAACCATTGAGTGCAAGGTTGTTGTCACCTACGTGGTATTCTTGCCAAAATGTTTCACCTAAATCTAATAATGGGGAAACCATCAGAATATGAAATATTATAACTCAAACAAGACAGTTGCAGGTGGGGAAAAAAAGAAAATAAAACAGAAACATGTTCCTGTGATTCCAGTGTTGTTGTTTCTGGTGATCAGGCAAAACCTGGCTATAAGAATACTGATCTGTTTTTCCAAAAAAATTAACATAATAAAAAACAAAAAAGGTGGAGACAGTTTTAGATTAAAAGAAAGTAAAGAGACATAAAACTAAAAGCAATACTCGAATCTTGCATGGATGCATTGGATGATAATGGAGCGATGTTAATTTTCTTACCTGTGATAATGGTGTTGTGATCACACAGGAGAATGTCTTTCTTCTTGGGAGATATATGTTGAGTTATTTAGGGGCAAGGTGTCATAATATCTGTGGCCTACTTTCAAATGGTTCAGCAAAAGAAATGTATACTTATTACAATATATATGTACATATGAAATACTCTTTCTTCATACTCTGTGTTTATGACAGTGTTGACTGAATTACAGGTAGGGAGTTGGGGATGCCTTAAAAGACTTTTTTTTTTTAGGTTTCTATTGATTGGTGCTACCGATTTTATGTTTAAATGAAATTGGGCAAGGTTTGCACATTGTACAAAGAGAGGAGACATACTGGTAAACATATGTAACTACTCAGCCTGTCAACCCTTTTTGAGACATTGGAAATATATTTCTTAATTTTAGAAAATAATTATCTAAAGAAAACTGAAATAAGATTATGACAAAGACTTTGTTTTTAATCAAGCAGGATGGGTGTTTGTTTGTTTTTGAGATAGAGTCTCACTCTGTCACCAGGCTGGAGTGCAGTGGCGCAATCTTGGCTCACTGCAACCTCCAACTCCCTGGTCCAAGTGATTCTCCTGCCTCAGGCTCCTGAGTAGCTGGGACCACAGGAGCGTGCCACCCTGCCCAGCTATTTTTTGTAGTTTTAGTAGAGATGGGGTTACCATGTTAGCCAGGATGGTCTCGATCTCCTGACCTCCTGATCTACCCACCTCGGACTCCCAATGTGCTGGGATTACAGGCATGAGCCACCGTGCCTGGCATGCAGGCGGATTTTTATTAAGATTGTTTCAGGAGGCTGGGCGCAGTGGCTCATGCCTATAATCCTAGCACTTTGGGAGGCCGAGGTGGGCAGATCACAAGGTCAGGAGTTTGAGACCAGCCTGGCCAATATGATGAAACTCCATCTCTACTAAAAATAGAAAAATTAGCAGGACATGGTAGTGGGTGCCTGTAGTCCCAGCTACTCAGGAGGCTGAGGCCGGAGAACCACTTGAACTCAGGAGGTGGAGGTTGCAGTGAGCCAAGATTGAGCCAGTGCATTCTAGCCTGGGCAACAGAGTGAGACTCTGTCTCAAAAAAAAAAAAAAAAAAAAAAAAGATTGTTTCAGGAGAGAATTCAGGAAATTTTTCTGACTATAAGTTAGAATATCACTACTGATGGGTAAACTTTTTCCAACATGAACTATTTCACTCAAGTGAAATAAGAACACATTTTTAGCCAGATGCTGTGGCTCACACCTGTAATCCCAACACTTTTGGAAGCCAAGGTGGGAGGATCACTTGAGGCTAGGAATCTGAGACTAGTCTGGGCAATGTAGCAATATCCCATCTCTTAAAAAAAAAAAAAAAATTAAGTAAAGAACAGTTTTTTTTTTTTCTTGAGACGAAGTCTTTCTCTGTTGCCCAGCCTGGAGTGCAATGATGTGATCTCAGCTCACTGCAACCTCCCAAAGTGCCTCATTTTATAGGCACGAGCCACTGTGCCTGGCCAGTTTTTATGAATGAGAGTGCTGGCCAGTTGGAGAACATTTTCCTAACATGTCTGAGACTTGTGGTGATTGGGAACCAAACCTGAAGTGGAGGGGATCCTAACTTCTAGGACAGCTGGGATGACTCCAGAACTGTTGACTGGGAGTTAACCTTCACTTCAGCAGTAGTTCTTAATTCCTGTGATTCCAGTGTTGTTGTTTCTGGCAATCAGGGAAAACCTCAAGGGCAAGCACTTTGGAGAACTTTCTAGGCCCAAGCACCTCTCCTTGGGCCCCTGCAAAGTTGTCCAGCATGAGTCACCTCTTGGCTCTTCATCATTGCTGCTGTGATCACTGTCAGCCATAGCACAGACTGTGTCCTCATGTGCTGCTTCTTGTTGGTTGCAGCAATAGGAAATGCATTTGCAGTCCTGAGCAATCCTGATAAGAGACTTCGCTATGATGAATACGGAGATGAACAGGTGACTTTCACTGCCCCTCGAGCCAGACCTTATAATTATTACAGGGACTTTGAAGCTGACATCACTCCAGAAGAGCTATTCAATGTCTTCTTTGGAGGACATTTTCCTACAGGTTAGTATCCCAAAATTATCTTTAAAATATTTCTTTCTTTATGGCTCTCAGCAAGCTCCTGTTTGAAAATCTGAATAGAGGGACGATGGTATGATGGGGACAGCAAGGATTTAGAATCAGTTGAGCAGGAGTTTGAGGCAAGTCTCCAGCCTCCAGCTGTGCATAATTTTGACCAATCATTTAGTCTCTCTGACCCTGTTTCCTCTCCTGAAAAATGGGGCTGTTAATAATACCTACTTCACAGGGTCACTGTGAGGATTAGATACGTTTAAGCACCTTATAAATAAGTAACAAAATGCCTATTATTATTATTATTATTATAAAATAGCACTTACAAAGATAAAAGATTGGAAAGTGCCCCCCAGCAAGTTGGAAGTTGGTATAATTCAGTGCCCAGGAAGTAAATTGAATTTTATGAATTGCTATTAAAAGTACCAGTGACACAATGTGGTATTGGGCACGGAAGCAGACGTGAGCATGCCAAATAGGATTCATGGTCCAAATGCTCTCACTCTTCTAGCCTTTTGGGGTTCTCTCTCATTAGTTGCAAAGGACTATTTAAATGAAGTCAGGAAAGCTCAGCATTCTTTAGCTCCAGCTGGTTCACTTGGCTTGCTTACTGTTTTTTTTTCTACTGGGTAAAATAGGCCAATACTCTATCCTTAACAAACCTAGCTGGGAACAAGGACCTTGAAAAAGGCAAGGAAGGGCTGGGCATCATGGTTCATGCCTGTAATACCAGCATTTTGGGAGGCCAATGTGGGTGGATCACTTGAGGTCAAGAGTTTGAGACCAGCCTGGCCAACATGGTGAAACTCCCATCTCTACTAAAAATAAAAAAATTGGCCGGGCATGGTGGCAGCTGCCTGTAATCCCAACTACTCAGGAGGCTGAGGCAGGAGACTCACTTAAACCCGGGAGGCGGAGGTTGCAGTGAGCCGAGATCACACCATTGTACTCCAGCCTGGGTAACAGAGTAAAACTCTGTCTCCAAAAAAGAAATAAAAAGGCAAGAAAGGAGTGTTTGCCATATCCCATACTGAGTATTTGTTTTTCTTTCTCTTCCAGGAAATATTCATATGTTTTCAAATGTGACAGATGACACTCACTACTACCGCCGACGGCACCGACATGAGAGGACACAGCCTCAGAAGGAGGAGGAAGAAGAGAAACCTCAGGTACCTAGGGAGGGAGGAGCGCTGCTGCCCATAAACAGTTGTACAGGGCCAACCTTGATGGTACATGGTCAAGCTTTAGTAGATGAACTTGAGATATATTGCTAAGATGTGCTTTAGGAAAGCAAAAGCAATGGTGAGAAGAGCTGAATAATTGGCCTAAATAGGCAGAATGGCATCCCCTCCTTCTGCCCATTCTTGGGTGGTTCTCCCAGGGTCTCAGCTCCCCTGTGGGGCTGACTTCATCAAGGCTCTTTTTGTTTTGAAAGAGGGTCTCACTGTCACCCAGGGTGGAGTACAATAGCACAAACATAGCTCACTGCAGCCTCGAACTCCAGGGCTCAAGCAGTCCTCCCACCTCAGCCTCTCATGTAGCTGGGACTAGTTGTATGCTACCATGCCCAGCTAATTTTTTCACCATGTTTCCCAGGCTGGTCTGGAACTCCTGGGCTCAAGTGATCCTCATGCCTTGGCCACCCAAAGTGCTGGGATTAAAGGCATGAGCTACCGCACCGGCCTCAAAGTTTTCTTGGCTGCAGAAAATAGGAACCTTCTTCAAAATATTTAAACTAAAGGGGGTTTAAGGTAAGGGATCAAAGGACAAGAAGCACAGCTGGGCCTCATGACAGACAGGAACAAGGAACTGTCAGGCTCCCAAGCAGCTGTGCTCTGCAGGACTCTCTGAGGCCAGATTGTCTCCAGTTTTCCGGCCACTCTGCCTCTGTTTTGTTTTCACAGAGCAGCTTTGCTTATTCTACTTCTCCTTACAAATCGCTAGTCTACAGTGCCTGAGTGTGTGTGTTCTTCCTTAAAGTGATGACCCAGAAATGAAGGGTGATGATTCTCAACCCCAAATTCCTAGGAGAGAAAATGTGATTATCTCTGCCAGAGTTAGATGTCTCCCCAGTCCAACCAGCTGTAGCCAAGTGACAGAGTTGCATAATGCTAATGTGGCTCCTAGAGCCCCACTCCTATAAGAGACACAGTCTGGGCAGATTGACCTAGAGATGTCTGCTTCATTGGTCTTATAAATGGGCACTGCAGGGGGATTACTGAGTGTCGATCCAGGTTATTGTTGGGCCTCCTTCAGGCTGCTCAGCAGTGAGAATGAAGGTTATTTGGTATAGACTGAGTATCCCTTATCTGAAGTAAATGGGACCAGTAGTATTTCAGATTTCAGATTTTTTTTTTTTATATTTTGGAATATTTGCATTATACCATTAAACAGTTGAGCATTCCTAATCTGAAAATCTGAGGCTGGGTGTGGTGGCTCACACCTGTAATCCTAACACATTGGGAGACTGTGATAGGAAGATTGCTCGAGCCCCGGAGTTCGAGACTAGCCTGAGCAACATGGCAAAACCTTGTCTCTACAAAAATTTAAAAATTAGGCCAGGCATGGTGGCTCATGCCTGTAATCCCAGCACTTTGGGAGGCCGAGGCAGGTGGATCACCTGAGTTCAGGAGTTTGAGACCAGCCTGACCAACATGGAGAAACTCTGTCTCTACTAAAAATACAAAATTTAGCCAGGCGTGGTGGTGCATGCCTGTAATCTCAGCTACTTTGGGAGGCTGAGGCAGGAGAATCACTTGAACCCAGGAGGATGATGTTGCAGTGAGCTGAGATCGCACCATTGCACTCCAGCCTGGGCAATAAGAGTGAAACTCCATCTCAAAAAGAAGAAAAATTAGCTGGACACAGTGATGTGCACCTGTGGTCCGAGCTTCTCAGGAGGCTGAGGCAAGAGAATCATCAGAACCCAGGAGGTCAAGGCTGTAGTGAGCCATGTTTGTGTCTCTGTACTCTAGCCTGGTGACAGAGCAAGACCATGTCTCAAAAAAAAAAAAAAGAAAAAGAAAAAGCAATGAGCATTTCCTTTGAGTGTCATGCTGGCCCTCAAAAAGTTTTAGATTTTGGAGCGTTTTTAATTTTGAATTTTCTGATTAGGAGTGGCCAACCTGTGCTTCTCAGCTGAGAGTACAGCCTTCCCCTAAAAGTCTGGGGCTTTGTGGATCCTCCTGGGCAGTGTATTGGTGACTTGTTACTTTCTTTGGGACCTCTATCTTATTTTCAGTAAGCTTTATATTGATGAAGAACACTTACAGCAAGTATTGTTTTCTTTTTTAGACTACGTATTCTGCATTTATTCAGCTACTTCCAGTTCTCGTGATTGTGATTATATCTGTCATTACTCAGCTGCTGGCTACTAATCCCCCATATAGTCTATTCTATAAATCGTAAGTCTGATATTTCTAAATCTTTCTCAGTAACAGTCTGGGGGTGAAAGACTTGAAGGTTTTGCTGCTAAATTACTAACATTTCATTTCACTTTTTGCTGTAGAAAACACCGATTTGATGTTTAAAGGAACAGCTGAGTAGTCATGGTGCTGAGACTCAAAAATACTGAAGCAGTCTCCTGTGTGCCTCACGAAATAGATTGTTTTGTTCTATAGCGACACCGACACCATCTGGTCGGTTGCAGAACAGCCGTAACTGGTTTTTTGTTTTTTTTTTTTTTTTTTTTTTGAGACGGAGTTTCGCTCTTGTTACCCAGGCTGGAGTGCAATGGCGCGATCTCGGCTCACTGCAACCTCCGCCTCCTGGGTTCAGGCAATTCTCCTGCCTCAGCCTCCCGAGTAGCTGGGATTACAGGCACGTGCCACCATGCCCAGCTAATTTTTGCATCTTTAGTAGAGACGGGGTTTCACCATGTTGACCAGGATGGTCTCGATCTCATGACCTCGTGATCCACCCGCCTCGGCCTCCCAAAGTGCTGGGATTACAGGCTTGAGCCACCGCGCCCGGCCCGTAACTGGTTTTTGAAGGATCAGTAGTAGTATTGAAGGTTTAGATGAACTCATTATCACACCATTGTAGAGTTAGGAAGACCATTGAGCTGCTGATAGGATTGCTGGATCCTATGGGTCTCAGAACATGATATTAATAACTAGGATCAAGTGATTATTTTCAATTTCTTTGTTTTGCTGAAAATACAGAAATTCATTGTAATGCCTATGGCATACAGATTATAAACTCTGATAGGATTTTTTAAAATTTATTCAATTAATTCTTTCAGTTGATTCAGTTCCCAAGGTTTGGTCCCCAGACCAGCCATCATCAGCATCAACAGGCAACATGTTAGGAAGGCAGATTCTAGGGCCCACCATATCCATTGAATTACAAGCTCTGGGGGTGGGACCAGAGGCCTGAGTTTGAACAAACTCTCCAGATGATTCTTGTCCACACTGAAGTTTGAGAATCACTAGATTATCTTTTTTGTTAATAATGAATAATAAGTTGTTACTCATTATTATAGTTTAGTGGAAAAAACCTTTCAAAAGTAGAATTTCTTAGACAGTATGTAGCAGGAAGAGTCTTTGTGAGTGATGACTGTAGGCTGAAGACTGTCATTCCAGGTCAATCCAAGTCAGCATTTTCCTTTTTTTGTTGTTGTTTTTTGAGACAGAGTCTTGCTCTGTCACCCAGGCTGGAGTGCAGTGGTACAATCTGGGCTCACTTCAACCTCCACCTCCCCAGTGCAAGCAATTCTTGTGCCTCGCCTCCTGAGTAGCTGGGATTATAGGCGGTGCGTGCCACCACACCTGGCTAATTTTTATATTTTAGTAGAGACAGGGTTTCACTATGTTGGCCAGCTGGTCTCAAACTCCTGACGTCAGGTGATCTGCCCATCTTGGCCTCCCAAAGTGCTGGGATTATAGGCATGAGCCACTGTGCCCAGCCAGTATTTTTCTTTTACAGAGAGTAAAGCTGAGGCTCAGAGAGAGGTTTTTTGTTTTTGTTTTTGAGGCAGTCTTGCTCTGTCATCCAGGCTCCCAGGCTGGAGTGCAGTGGTACAATCGTGGCTCACTGTAATCTTCTCCCAGGTTCAAGCGATTCTCATGCCTCAGCCTCCTTAGTAGCTGGGATTATAAATGTGCACCACCATGCCTGGCTAATTTTTGTATTTTTTAGTAGAGACTAGGTTTCATCATGTTGGCTGGACTGGTCTCCAACTCCTGGCCTCAAGTAATCCACCCATCTCAGCCTCCCAAAGTGCTGGGATTACACTCATGAGCCACTGTGCCCGGCTTCAGAGAGAGGTTTTTGCCCTCAGGTCACACTGGCCTGATTCCCTCTGTTTCCCAATTTTTCTTGTTTTTCCATATGGTACTTCAGCTTTCTTTCTTGTGAGGCCGGCAGGGTAAGCACAGACCTGCTCTGTAAACCCCTCCCTAGAATGAGGGGAGAGCAGTCATGGCCTCGGTTCTTACTCTAAGTAGAGAGGATCAAAAGTGAGGGCCAGGGAAAGGCCAAATAAAATATAGCCCCTTTAAGGTATAATTTGTCCAGTTTGAAGAAAACCAGCTTGGGTTTTGAACATTGCTGTCACATTGTTTTAACTTGAGTTTGAGGTCCCTTCTATACTTCCTTATGGTTAGAATTTATTCAGCTCAGTACTCTTAACGTTGCTGAGCACCAGACACCACTGGATGCCTTGGACCCACAGAGAGTTAGCTCTGATGCATTGTTGAAATCTTTTATCTGAGTTTCTTGCAGTTCTCAGTTAGCAGCTACATGCGAAGTACTTTTTATCATGTCCAAAATATTGCTTCTAGGTTGGTGTGAGCTATCTGTTTTTTTGTAAATAATTTGCTATATAACATAATCAGCTCATTCAACCGGCATTTCTAATAGCCTACTCTGTCAGGTACCATACTAGATCCTACACAACATAAAAATTGGTTTTTTAAAGCATTCAGCATTCTCCTTTTAGGACAGAGAGCAGTATAAGAGAGGTGAGTCCTTTAAGAGAATACACCATTTATGCTGAAGCTGAATTCATAGTATGAACGTGCTCACGTAATACCAATTATGATAATGTTATATTTACAACTTTGCAAGGGAAATAGTATAGGGTACATTTAAAAATGATATCTGCCTCTGCTCTATGAACAGATGATGATGATATCCATGAGGCTACTGCTAAGAGTAATATTCCCAAATATTACGAGCTCACATCAGCCTTTCTCCTTGTTTCAGGACCTTGGGCTATACCATTTCTAGAGAAACTCAGAACCTGCAGGTGCCTTACTTTGTGGATAAAAACTTTGACAAGGCCTACAGAGGAGCTTCTCTGCATGACCTGGAGAAGACAATAGAGAAGGATTACATTGATTATATCCAGACGAGTTGCTGGAAGGAGAAACAACAAAGTAAGATGCTGTAAAAGGGGCATTAGCTGGTGGCCATGGTTCCCAGCAGGAGGCACCCCCAGCCTCCTGATCCCTCCTCTCTTCTTGTTTGGGGCTACACATGTTTATGTGAACAGAGTCAAAAGACAAACCATTCAGGATACTACAAAAAAGTGGGGGGAAATTTATTGACAGGATGCATGTGGCCAGGACTTGGAAATCTTAGGAATTTAGGTGGCGCTAGTCACCTGTTTGTATGTCTGTCTCTTTTTGGGTCTCTACCTCTCTCTGCCCATGTGCCCCTTCTCCTCTCCCTACCAGCTGCCTTCCTTTCTTTCTTCCAGCTTCCCTTCTTCATAACCTTGTTTGTCATGGTTTACTATGGTTACCACCCTCCTTGTCACTCGAATTCCCCAGCCTCACCAGTCAGTGCCCCTTTGTGTAGCACACACCTCTGTAAGTTCTTGGTGCTTGCTGATTTGGTCACAGTTTCCCAATTCCACACTCCCTAGAGGGAAATCTGATTGAGCCAGCCTAAGTTGTTTTGTTTTGTTTTGTTTTGTGAGACAGAGTCTCGCTCTGTCTCCAGGCTGGAGTTCAGTGGTGTGATTTCAGCTCACTGCAATCTCCACCTCCCAGGTTCAAGCGATTATCCTGCCTCAGCCTCCCCAGTAGCTGGGATTACAGGCGTGTGCCACCATGCCCAGCTAATTTTTGTATTTTTAGTAGAGACAGGGTTTTGCCATAGTGGCCAGGATGAGCTCGATCTCGACATTGTGATCCACCTGCCTCGGCCTCCCAAAGTGCTGAGATTACAGGCATGAGCCACCACGCCCGGCCCTGAGCCAGCCTAACTTTTTGAGCCACAACACCGGTTAAGAGGTTTCTGGTATTGAATGAGGTATCCCTTACCCTCATATCCAGCTGGTTGTGGCCACAGAACAAAAGTGACCCCCTTGGTCTGCCCCTTTAGTAGGGGTGGGTGTGGCAGGCCTTTCCACTATTTCGGTCTCAGTGGGCATGACGCATCTGCCACTGGCTTGCAGCTTAGGAGTGTTACTAAGGAGTGTCTGCAGCAGGGTTAGCCCTGTCTCAGCCAGCAGCTTCACCTTTGGTCCCACTTGAATTCTACACACACACACCATTAATGACCGTATCTTCTAAAACTTGGTTTTGGTTAATTATTTTTTTTTTATTTTTTTAAATTTCTCAGGAGCTTCCCTTTTAACTGAAGTGTTGGCTCATGTTTAAAAAGCAAATTCTAACTCATTTCTAAAGCCTTATTACCTAGTAGTGCAAAATACCTAATGGTGTCTGATAAAATTAGCTCTTGGGTCACAGTGCTGCTAAGCCCTCAGTGACCATCACAAACTCCCAACCCCACCCTCAAGTTAAGCTCTCCTTCCTCTGTGTTCTTAAAGCACTTCGTTCGGCTTGCTAACATAGAACTGATCGCACAGTGTTAGAGTTCCAGAGATGTATGTCAGTCTCCCCTGAGAGACTATGAGCTCTCTGGGAATAAGAACTTGGTCTTACTAATTTTGTATCCCAGGGCTCTGGCACAGCCCTCGCTTCAGAACAGGTGCTCAACAAATGTCTTTTGAAGAGAGGATTCTCAGGAGTAGAAAACAATGAAAATGGTGAGGATTGTGAATAACAGCAGGGTGAGTGTCCTAGCTCAGTCCTTAGGGACCTGGTCTCTGACCCCTATTTCTGTAGGGCGAAGACCCACTGTTCTCTCAGGGTGCATTAGGAAGTTGGTGAGCGATGATTCTTGGATATAAGAGGAAATTAAACAGGAGGAGGAAATTCCATTTTTATTGAAAAACACTGAGGTTTCAGGAAATACCCTACCCCATATCTAAATTAGATTTTACAAGAATCAAAAATCAGGAAAGAATTTTGGTGCAGGATAAAGACCTTATACTAGGCCGGGTGCGGTGGCTCACTCCTGTAATTCCAGCACTTTGGGAGGCCGAGGCAGGCGGATCACGAGGTCAAGAGATTGAGACCATCCTGGCCAACATGGTGAAACCCCATCTCTACTAAAAATACAAAAAAATTAGCTGGGCGTTGTGGCGCATGCCTGTAGTCCCAGCTACTCGGGAGGCTCAGGCAGGAGAATTGATTGAACCCAGGAAGCAGAGGTTGCAGTGAGCCGAGGTCGCGCCACTGCACTCCAGCCTGGCGCCTGGTGACGGAGTGAGACTCTGTCTCAAAAAAAAAAAAAAAAAAAAAAGACCTTATACTAAAAGGCAGTATACAGGCCAGGCATGGTAGCTCACGCCTATAGTCCTATAGTCCTAGCACTTTGGGAAGCCGAGGCAAGAGGATCACTTGAGTCCAGGAGTTCAAGACCAACTGGGCAACATAGTGAAATCCTATCTCTAGAAAAAGTATAAAAATAAGCCAGGTGTGGCCAGGTATGGTGGCTCACGCCTGTAATCCCAGCACTTTGGAAGGTGGAGGTAGGCAGATCACGAAGTCAGGAGATCGAGACCATCTTGGCTAACATAGTGAAACCCCATCTCTACTAAAAATACAAAAAATTATTCAGGCTTGGTGGCACATGCCTATAGTCCCAGCAACTCTGGGAGGCGGAGGTTGCAGTGAGCTGAGATCACGCCACTGCACTCCAGCCTGGGCAACAGAGTGAGACTCTACCTCAAATAAATAAATAAAGTAAGCCAGGTGTGGCAGCACATGCCTGTGGTTCCTGCGGCTCAGGAGGTCCAGCCTGCAGTGAACTGTGATCACTCCACTGTACTCCAGCCTGGGCCAAAGAGGGATAGCCTCTCTCAGCAAAAAAGTATATACATGGATCCAAATCAGGTGAAAGCCAGTGTATGTCTTGAAAGTCCCCATTGTCTGGGTCCCGGGAGGGCTTTGACTTTGTTGCTTTCTGCAAGAACTGGATGAAAATCTGCATTTCACATTCTTCAAACACCCCCCTGCCCCACATCTTCCTCTGTGGCAGTAAGATGCTGGAATTATGCAAAGAGCTCATGGTAAGGATTGCACCAAAGGTCATTTCTAAGCTTTTGTCCCCATCCCCATGAGGCCTAGTTCAGAGTTTTGGCATTCTCCAAGGTATAAATAAAAATCTAGTGAGTGGCCAAGCACGGTGGCTCATGCCTGTAATCCCAGCGCTTAGGGAGGCTGAAGCGGGTGGATCACCTGAGGTCAGAAAATCAAGACCAGCCATGGAGAAACCCCGTCTCTATTAAAAATACAAAAATTGATCAAAAATTGGCGTAAAAATAAAAATACAAAAATTGCCCACGCTGGCTCATATCTATAAATTCCAGCACTTTGGGAGGTCTAGGCGGGCAGATCACCTGAGGTTGGCAGTGTGAGACCAGCCTGACCAACATGGAGAAACCCCATCTCTACTAAAAATACAAAAATTAGCCGGACATGGTGGTACATGCCTGTAGTCCTAGCTACTCTGGAGGTTGAAGCAGGAGAATCGCTTGAACCCCGGAGGTGGAGGTTGCAGTGAGCCAAGATCGCACCACTGCACTTCAACCTGGGTGACAGAACAAGACTCCAACTCAAAAATAAATGAATAAAAATAAATCCAGTGAGTAAGCATGATGTGTGTACCTACAAGTTCCAAATGGGGGCTATCAGCACACACCCCTTAAAAATCTATTTCTAGGCCAGGCGCAGTGGCTCACGCCTGTAATCCAAGCACTTTGGAGGCCAAGGCAGGTGGATCACCTGAGGTCAGGAGTTCAAGACCAGCCTGACCAACATGGTGAAACCCCATCTTATAAATAAATAAATAAAAAGAAGAAAGAAAAATAAAAAGAAAAGAAAAAAATCTATTTCTGGCATTTAAGTACAGTGGCTGTGCAGAGCCTCCACACAACTGAAGTGCCATTTGAGAACAAGCAGCATCTGCCCTCCGAATCCAGCAGCAAGTGCAGCCAGCAAGGTTAAATTTAGCACTTGGAGGTTGTAAAAATAAACCCACTTGAGAACAAAGTTCACTCTTGGCAAAATACCAAATGCAAACTGTTTTTAGCAAGGTTAGCCATTGACCTTTTAAAGCTTTGGTTCATTTATTTTCTCTACTCTTAGAATGCTTAATCTGGGTAACCTTTTTTTTTTTTTTTTAACGACAGAGTTTTGCTCTGTCACCCAGGCTGGAATGCAATGGTGCAATCTGGTCTCACTGTAACCTCTCCTTCCGGGTTCAAGCAATTCTCCTGCCTCAGCCTCCTAGGTACCTGGGATTACAGGCGCCCATCACCACGCCCAGCTAATTTTTGTAGTTTTTTAGTAGAGATGGGGTTTCGCCATGTTGGCCAGGCCGGTCTCGAACTCCTGACCTCAGGTAATCTGCTCACCTCCGCCTCCCAAAGTGCTGGGATTACAGGTGTGAGCCACTGCACCTGGCCAATCTGATGAACTTTTATGAATAATCCCTTACTATAAACACTCATTGTCCTGTTTACTTCTTCACAGCTGCATCTAGATAATAAACCTGATGCCAGGGCAAGTGGCTACGCCACTAGGCTGAGCTGGACAAAAGTAGGAGGCAGGAACCGCCTCTTGGCCCAGCCGAGCTGAGCTGAGCTCCTGGCCCGGACTGGCAGAGAAGTACTTCCTTCCATGCCCTTGAGCAGGATAACCTAATGGGTAGAAGCTTAGGCTTTGAAATGGGGATAGATTCCACTTCCTCCTGGAGAGGTTGGGTGGATTATAGAAGATGGTATGGGTGTAACCCTTAGCACAGAGAAAGTGCCTGATTTTCTGGTGGAGTCTTGGCTTTACCTGGCTTTGCACTGTAGACTGGATGCAGCACCATATCATGGGGCTGGATCTTGAGGGTAGTTGAGATCTGTTGCAGTCTTTCAGCTGTCAAGACTCCAATCTGGGCTCTTGTGCAGTGTGTTCTTGGGAGAGGCTCTGGGTCTGGCTTCTTTTGGCAATGTGACTGAGTCAGTTATCTTTAAGGTTCAATGCTCTGTCCATCAGTTACACTGGCATTCAGAGGAAGGGGAACCTTCTGCTAAGAAGAAAAGGTATTTTCTTGAACCTGCTACTCTCGAAAAATTTTTTTAATTACTTGGAAGTTATTGAATATTAACAGAATTTGTCAAAAGTAGCATATTCTTCAAGTTGACTCTTTGCTCATTGAAGGATGAAAGGATTCACTGGCAGTTTGAAGAGAAGTTGCTCTTAAGCTTGGTATTGGGGATGTGGGACATGGTTCCTCGAAACACTGACCTTGTATAAGGTCATTTCTCTGGAGCACGGGTCTCTGACCTGGTTTCATGAGCTTTATGAAAAGCAATGTGATATTTTGAGAAAAGCAGTTATCTGTCATCAGCTTGTTGAAGTGGCCTTCAATGTAGAAAATATAGAATCACTAGCCCTTAATGTTTCCTGGAGCAAGATTTCAGGGAATGAGGCATTTAGAAAAGCTGGGCAAATGTAAAACCTAAGGAAATCATTTCAAGGAAAAGCAAAACCACAGAATCTGTTTCAATACTGGTGTAACTCTAGAGGACTGAAGGCATAGACTGACTTCACAGAGGCCTCCTGGACAGACATTACCCACATGCCAAAGAAGCCCAAGACTGGAGTTGGTGCTGAAGCCCTGGGCAGCATACAGGAGCAGAGAGAGCTTTCATTTGGATACGGTCCATGATCCTCCATGGAGCCCCATCATCTGCAAGGGTGACTGTGCCAAGGCAAGCCCTGGCTAGCAGGCGCTGCAGGCACCCTCACTGCGCGGGGAGAGCACATTGTTCTGGAGCCTGGGAGACCCAGTGCTTGCCAAGCCACTGCTGGGCTAGAGCCCAGGCTGTGCAGCCTCCATTGTAGAAGGAGATTTTTTATGCATATCCACCCCTCACCCTGGAGTCCTGCACTTTATCTGCACTTTGGGCCTTACTTGGGGTAAATAGCATCATTGTGAGCAGAAATGCCAGAGTGTTTTGTGTTGATAGAAACTTATTCAGAAAGCAATGCCCATTGTTCCCCCTGGCTAAATAATAATTCCTGTTTCCAGGCAGTTTGCTGATTAATCAGACAGGTGTCATTCGTTCCACCAAGAAAAACAAAATCTGTCAGCAAGATGGTTAACAATGATAGGCATATTTCAAAACGATTAAAATAGCATTTTCACAAGTCTGGTCCTTTAAACATTGAGTAGCTGCCTGCTGTCAGAGGTTTTCAGAAGCCACACACCACATCCAAGCATGCCATCCTGCTAATAATACGCAATACGTCTCTGGAGGTACTTTCAGGCAATCCTCCCTGAGAATGTCTGAACCTCACAAAAGAATAAAAAATAGAGGCAGCCAAACCACCATTGAGTCGGGAGACACAGCAGAGATTATATTCTGGTTAAAAATAGAATGACCTTCTTCACCATGAAGAGAAAATGAAATTCATTTAGTCAAGGAGACAAAGGTTACCCGATCCAGATGATTCAACTTTTAAAAAAGCCCAGCTGCCTTTGGCCTTTGAGTTAGGGACCCCATGTGTGGTGAGGGAATGAAGAACGCTGGTAGCACCCTGTCCTTCTGTAGACGCACACCTGACAGCAGTAGGCTCTGTGTCCCTTCGCACATGTGAGTTATGATGCAGCAGTGCAGGGAGAGAATAAAGCAGCTGTCTATTTCAGATGACAGGAATAGGCCACTGGACTCCATTCTCTCCCAGCTGCCGTTGGAATCCCATTGGTAGGAGGCTGGGGGGCAGTCTCACTGCACACACGCGGGTTTCCTAAGTCTGGTGCCAAATGTTTTCTTGGTAAGAACTAAGTCCAATGCTTTTATAAGAGAGCACAGGTACTGTTGGACTGCAGGCTCACAGGTGCTCAGCATCTGCTCTAGTGCCTAAGACATGTTTTATGAATAAATGAGTAAATGTTTCTTAGGTTTAATTGGAAGAAAAAGCATGAAATGAAGTAAGAGGAGCTTTGACTCCAGAAATGTTGAAATGAAACAAAGGAGTTCAACTCTTGATGAACTGGTTACCTCTTTTATCTTTCAGAGTCAGAGTTGACAAATTTGGCAGGATTATACAGAGATGAACGATTGAAACAGAAAGCAGAGTCGCTGAAACTTGAAAACTGTGAGAAACTTTCCAAACTTATTGGCCTACGCAGAGGTGGCTGAGAGGATAATGGCCCTACGCAGGGCTGGGGTTTGCTACTTGTTCCTACTTATGTTCCTGATTCCATTTTATAATACAAAATTAGGAAATGATGAACACTTTATTACTTGCTGACTTCGGTGGTTGGGCAGAGTGGCCAGAGCATGGGCACGAGAGCCAGACATGTCTTCACAGAATCCTTCCTGGGGAGTGGCTCCAGGGGCCAGGAGCAGTTCATCTAAGCTAAGTGAATGGCAAAGCACTGGATTCCGTCTCCCTGCTCCACGCCCATGCTGCCTCTGTGAATGTAGTTCAGGGCATCCCAGAGCAGATCCGTGTTTTCTTCCTTCTTCCCTTCGTCAGGGAAGTCTGAAGACCCAGGCATTCCTAAGCTTAGCCAAAGCTTAATATTAGTTATTTACACTGTCTACCAAGAATTATACCTCTCCCTTCATTAGAGTCATTATCTTCTGCCAAGATTTAGCCTTCGGAACCTGTTCCTGCCCAGCTTTCTATTTTCTAAGGGAATATGGAGAAATTTAAATAATCGTAGTCAATAGTTTTCTAATATTCCAATCTCTGCTCAGTTAGTAGCATTAGCATACTGCCTGATTTGAGGTTCCTTTATTTCCTTAACCCTCTCTCTTTTAGAGGGTCCAGAAATTAAAACTACTAAGCAGCATCAGGAGGCAAGTTTGGGGCAAAGGTATAATACAAGACTGAGCCTCAGCTCCTCTATGCAGCCTCCCTAGTCCATCATAGAACCCAGAGAATGTCCCTTCAGTCATTTCCCCTCAGTATCAGCATTGGCGTCATTGCACTTGGGCTGAGTTCCTATATGCCACAGAGGCAGACCCAGGAGGAGGCATTGCCAGCTCTCCAGGCTGTTTGCTCAAGCCTAGAGATAGAGGGGACAGACTCTCTCTTCCTGGATATGGGGATCTAGCGTTGGCCCCAGAAGCCACTTTGTTTAACCCAGTGTTCTAGAGTTTGTGATTTGAGATGCTTTTCATACATTCAACATTTAATGAGTGCCCACTATAAAGCAGGGGCTCTCACACATATTTTCTTACTTAAACCTCCTCACAACTCTGAAGTAGATGTATTATCCCTGGTTCTATGAATGAGAACATTGGCCCAGAGAGGATGAGTGGTTGACCTGGGTCATACAGCTCGTAGTGGCAGAGCTAGATGATAGGCTGAGTGTCAAGTAGAAAGTGGGAGAGAGCATCCTCATGTCTCAGGTGATTCTAGCCAGACTGGCAAAGCAGAACCTTTCCTGAGAATGCCTCTGCGCACCCTACCCCTGTGACCCCACACCCTTTCTGTGGCAATCCTGCATCCATTCAGGACAACGTCCTTGCTGCTCTTTAGGAAGTAGGACCCTGTCAAACATAAATTCTGTACACAAAATAAGAGGTTCCTCATGGGCAGGCAGCCTTCTCACTGGTGACAAGGAAGAATTCAGTCACTGCCTGGGCTGTGTGGTTCTGGGCCTTCCTGTGGAGCTGAGCTGCCTGGATTATCATGACTCTGAACCTGGAAGGATCATTAGGTGACCGTAGCCTACACTCCATGCTTCCTTCAGATTGGAGGAAAAGTTTCTGCTAGAGTTGGCCAGGTACAGTTGCTCATGCCTGTAATCCCAGCACTTTGGGAGCCTGAGGCAGGTGGATCACCTGATGTCAGGAGTTCAAGACCAGCCTGGCCAACATGGTGAAGCCCCATCTCTACTGATAATACAAAAATTAGCCAGGCATGGTGGTGCACACCTGTAGTCCCAGCTACTTGGGAGGCTAAGGCACAAGAATTGCTGCAACCTGCAAGTCAGAGGTTGCAGTGAGCTGAGATCACACCGCTGCACTCCAGCCTGGGTGACAGAGTGAGACTCCATCTCAAAACCAAAAAAAAGAGTCTACATTAAAACAGATCTCCAAAGTAAAGTTTCTTCATCCCAATGCATGGCCACGATTTACATAGACGTGCCTAGCATGGCTCATCAACAGTGGAACAGCTGTCAGAGCTTGGCGCCCAGCTCCAGATTGTTTCTCTGAGCATTACTGCAGATTGGAGACGTGTATGATGGGAGCAGGGCTCAGAAATAGGGCTTGAGACTCAGGCAGAAACTGAAGCTCTCATTCAAATGAAGGTGTTCTCTCTACCACATGATCAGCAGTGAGAAATGCCTCTGTATGCATTCCAGAGTCAGGAGATGAGTTCGTAGGTAAAGATTGAGAGCTTTAGTGGCTTGCAAGGGACAACTGCTCAGTTGTAGGGAGAGGGAGCATTTCTAGAAATAGCCAGATTTTGCTGCCCTAGTAGGTCTGTCCTCCTGGTTTGGGGGACCCTTCTTGATTCCCTCTGAGTGACTAAGGGAAGTTACATTGTAAAATGTGCCCATGAGCCAAACAGGCTTATGGAAAGTTCGCCTATATACACAAAAATCAAAACTCTCCTCTCCCCATCCCCAACCTCTGCTAGAAAATTGGCCATAATGAAACTAACTTGACAGGTTAAAGACCCTGTTCTAGATGCCCAGAAATCAAGTAGTCACATATTTTATGGACTTCATAGCAGTGATGAGTAATCTGTGATGATACTAAATAGAGGCAATAGTAACTAACTCCATTAAATGACATACTGGTTGTCTGTTTTTATAGCACTGATGGGACTATTTTATTTATTACCAATAGACCACACATTCACATCTGTTTTTCCTCAAGGGAACTGTATTTGCTTTTGGTTGAAGGATAGTTTAATCTATTTGATAGTATCCAGAATAGTGTTAAACTATAATTTCCTGGGTTATATTTTAGATGGGTTGTCTGCATGGTGGTAAAATAAGCTTTTTCCTCTTGCCTACATCCTTTGGAAGATCTCCTGATCATATATAAACTCTAGGTAGGGCTTATTCTTGCTGTCAGAGCTTGGCGCCCAGCTCTAGATTGTTTCTCTGAGCATTACTGCAGATTGGAGACGTGTATGATGGGAGCAGGGCTCAGAAATAGGGCTTGAGACTCAGGCAGAAACTGAAGCTCTCATTCAAATGAAGGTGTTCTCTCTACCACATGATCAGCAGTGAGAAAAGGAAGATGAAAATCCTTCTCATCACAAAGAGCTTGAAGGAATCCATGTCCCCAAATTAGCAACCCTAGGGTTCATCTGCAGAAGCCAGAAAATGTGTAAGCTTCCTTGATCAGCTCCAGGCCTCACATCCCATGAGTAGTGACCAATAAGGAAATACCACTTCTCTGCTTTCTGTTGGAAACTATTAGAAAATACAGTGAACTGGCCAGGCACAGTGGCTCACGCCTATAATCCCAGCACTTTGGGAGGCCAAGGAGGGCATATCATTTGAGGTCAGGAGTTTGAGACCAGCCTGGTAAACATGGTGAAACCCCATCTCTACTAAAAATACAAAAATTAGCCAGGCATTGTAGCAGGCTCCTGTAATCTGAGCTACTTGGGAGGCCGAGGCTGGATAATCACTTGAGCCTGGGAGGCGGAGGTTGCAGTGAGCAGAGATCACACCACTGCACTCCAGCCTGGGCGACAGACGGAGACTCTGCCTCAAAAAAAGAAAAAGAAAAAAATACAGTGAACTCCAGATGCCACTGGAACATGGGGTCCAGCAGCCTGGCCAAGCTATGTGTCGTTCTTTTTCCTCCTCATATTCAGGCTGGGCATTGTGAGGAGGCACTGTGTGATTCCAGTGGCTTCTGTTCCAAATGGCCACACCACACATGCAAGCTAATTGTCTGCATGCACTGCTCCTCACAGGAGCTTGCACTTCATTCATATTTATTCTGGCTCATTTAAGGTGTAAGTTTAGTGTCCTAATATATTTATTTTTGGAAAGGCCCAAGTTACAAAACATCTTTTTTTCTTGAGGCTGCACTGTTGATATGTGATGCACCAATTAAGTATATGCCCATGTGTTAGATATTGAGTACATCATTTACATCATGCTCAGTATTTGGAATTAAAGATGTGGATGTTCTGTGACCAGAGTAGGGATGACACAAATGGAATCAGCTCCTGGTAGACTAAGAATCTTGAAAAAATCTGGTCACCTGATCCACTACATCTGGATTGAGTGTATTTTAACAAAGAAAAACATTAAACAATTTTATATAAAAAGAATGGCTATTTTTCCTTGGTTCTTTTACCTTTGCGCATGGCATCCTTGGCCACTGCCTGACTCCCTTGGAGCCACTTTGGAGTAGAGAAGCTGTTGGCATCTGCTCCATCTTCCCTCACCCATCAGTGGGATTATTTGCATTTGGAATAGTAGATAGCATTGTTGGCATCATCAGTTCCACATTTTCTATCAGATAACAGCAGTTGCAGTATATCACAGCCAATAGACAGATAAAAACTACACTTAGCATCAGAAATTCAGGTGTTATCCCAGTTCCTTGCTGGCTCTGTTCCTAGTGGCCCATATTTAGGAAAGTATTGATTTAAAAATATAGTAAATGGGCCAGGCACAGTGGCTCATGCCTGTAATCCCAGCACTTTGAGAGGCTGAGGTAGGCGGATCACAAGGTCAGGAGATAGAAACCATCCTGGCCAACATGGTGAAACCCCGTCTCTAAAAAAGAAAAAAAAATTATTTAAAAAAGAAAAAAAATAGGCCGGGCCTGGTGGCTCAAGCCTGTAATCTCTGCACTTTGGGATGCCTAGGTGGGCAGATCACCTGAGGTCAGGAGTTCAAGACCGGCTTGGCCAACATGGTGAAACCCTGTCTTTAAATATATATATATTTTTTAAAAAAAGAAAAAAATACTGGGGAGGGATAACATGGGGAGAAATGCCAGATATAGGTGAAAGGGAGGAAGGCAGCAAACCACATTGCCATGTATGTACCTATGCAACAATCCTGCATGTTCTTCACATGTACCCCAAAACTTAAAACGCAATTAAAGAAAATATATATATATATATATATATATATATAGTAAATGATATTCACATGATTCTAACTGGTCATGATAGCTTTCATTTGAAAAAGAAAGTGAGAGGAGATTCAATTCAGAAATGATTGAGAACTTACTCTGAGCCAGGTGGGCTGGGCTTTTGGGATGGGGGTCAGGGAACAGGTGAGGCCCAACACCAAGGCTGCTGGAGCTCACATCTAGTGGAGAGGCCAGGCTTACACAGTGCTCCGCAGCGCAATGAATAGCTAAAGGGAGACCAAGGGGGGATCACAGACACTATAACAAAAGGATTTAACCCAGTCTGAGGGGTCAGTGAAAGCAACTCTGAGGAAGAGAGATGTGAAATACAATCACCCTTCCTACAGAGGTGAGTGGATTTTTATTTAGTGAAGGATTGTGGAAGCAAGACTCTTCCAGTGCCCCACCTCCGTCACTAGCACTTCCACCCATCCAAGTGCAAAAGTCAGCAACCCAAGCCAGGCACGGTTGTGCACACCTGTATCCCAGCTACCTCTGAAGGCTGAGGTGGGAGGATCACTTGAGGCCAGGAGCTTGAGACCAGCCTGAGTGATACTGCAAGACTCCATCTCTAAAAATAAAATAAAGTCAAAAACCCAGGAAACTCTGTGATAGACTTAATTTGGCATCCTCTAATATTCATGCTTTTGTGTAGTCCCCTTTCTAATTGGGGCTGGCCTTTGATCTATAACCAATAGAATGTGGCAAAACTGGCAGCTTCCATTTTTGTACTTGTAGGGAAGCCAGCTACCACATAAATTCAACTACCCTGAGACCACTCCACTAGCCAAAGGAGAAACCATGCAGAAGAGAACCAAGCAACCGACAGCAACTGAGGACCCAAACGTATAATTCAAGTTGAGCCATTTGTGCTACCCCAGATGATGGGCAGAGCAGAAATGTGCTGCCCCCCGCCCAAGTCCGGCTCAGACTGCAGAATTGTGAGCAAATAATAAAACAATTGCTGCCATTTTACTGCAGGTATGATGGCTCATGCCTGTAATCCCAACACTTTAGGATGCTAAGGCAGATGGCTTGAGCCCAGGAGTTCAAGACCAGCCTGGGCAACATGGTGAAACCCTGTCTCTACTGAAAAATACAAAAATTAGCTGCGCGCCTGCAGTCCCAGCTGCTGGGGAGGCTGAGGTGGGGGGATTGCTTGAGGCTGGGAGGCAGAGGTTGCACTGAGCTGAGATTGCGCCACTGCACTCCAGCCTGGGCGACAGAGTAAGACTCTGTCAAAAAAAAAAAAAAAAAAAAAAAAGTGTTGTTTTAAGCCGTTACATTATATGGTGGTTTCTAGCAAGAGACAATCAAAACACCTTTTCCGTGTCCCCACATCACCTCTCTGTTAAGCCCTATCAATTTTACCTCCAGAACATCCTAAATCTTTCATCTCTGACACCATCTGACTCTCAAACTACCATCCACTTTCACTGCAGTAGCCTTCTCAGTAAAAGTAGTCTCTGTGCACCTACACAGCTCCGCTCCCATCTGTATACCTCACTGCAACTAGAGACCTTTCCAAGCATAAATTGGATCACCTCATCCTCCTGCTTAAAATATTTCAGTAGCTTTCTTTTGTCCCTAAAATAAACATCATCAAAGTCCTTAGCATGGCCTACCTTGCTTAGCAAGGCTCTGCCAAGTTCCTGGTCTTTAACCACTCCCCAAGCCCCCTCTTGCCCTATAAATCTTTTTCTTTTATGCCATACCAGCCCTTAGTTACTACACTCTACCAACCTCTTTTGCCCCAGGGACTTTGTGTATACTGTTCCCTCTTTCTGCTGTCCCTACCCACTCACCTGCCCCTACCCTCTTTGCTAAAGTGCTTCCTGGTTATCTTAATGGGTTTCAGATGGAACATCACTGCCTCAGAGAAGTTTTCCCTTGCACAGAAGCTTAGTCCCACCTGGCTAAATTGCCCTTTAGATTTACCTGGTTGTTTGATTATTGTCTGACTCTTCCCACTAGACTAAGTTCCTGTCTGGTTTTACCTGAAATGAACCTTGAAGGGAGTGGTGTGCCGTCTGTCGTAAGGATTTGCTCTAGAAGTGCAGCCCAAATTCTTCGACACTACTCCCATTGAAAGGTGATGGAGGGGCAGGATCTGTGTCTCCTCCTCTGGAATCTGGACTCTGTGGCTCCTTGACCAATAGAACACAGTAAAAATGAGCTGGGTACAGTGGCTCACACCTGTAATCCCAACACTTTGGGAGGCCAAGGTGGGTAGATCACGAGGTCAGGAGTTCGAGACCATCCTGGCCAACATGGTGAAAACCCCATTTCTACTAAAAATACAAAAATTAGCTGAGCATAGTGGCAGGTCCCTGTAATCCCAGCTACTTGGGAGAGTAGCTTGAGGCAGGAGAGTCACTTGAGCTGGGGAGGTGGAGGTTGCAGTGAGCCAAGACCGTGCCATTGCACTCCATCCTGGGTGACAGAGCGAAACTCCATCTCAAAAAAACAAAACAAAAAAGCAAAATGACACTATGCCAAGTATCAGGCCCAGGCCTTAAGAAACTAGCATCTTCCATTTTCTGTCACTTTAAATGCTTTCTCTTTAACCCAATCTCCATGCTCTCAGAAAGCCCAGGCAGCTCATGGAGAAAAACCAAGACTCTTGGTCCTCAGCCCTAGCAGAGCTCCCAGCTGACAGCACCAACTTGCCAGTCACATGAGTGAGCCATGGGATGTAGAACTTCTGACCCACTGTTGAACCATCCCAGCTCACACTGCATGGAGCAGAGATAAGCTTTCACCATTGAACCTTGCCAAATTGCATATTTATGAACAAAATAATTTTTTTCAATGACTTAAAAAAATTGGGGAGGTGGTTTATTATGCAATAGATAACCAGAACATCAGCCAAAATGACAAGCCTGTGCAGAAAGGCAGCCCTTCCCAGGCAGGATCACAGAGCTGTTTGTGATGTCTTGTCATCCTGAGTCTCACTGAGTCCTGGTTGGCCAGGAGCCCAAAGTGCCTTTCAACATGTAGAGTAGGAGTCTGTGGCAGTGCCAACGAGGGTGACCACCCCTCATGTCCATACTAGGAAGCAGGTGTAGACCTGGATCCACAGTTCTGTCTTGCTTATAACCTTCCACCCCCAGGTGGCTGCTGGAGCCTACTGCTCTCCAAGGTTTTGCCCCAGATACGCAGAGAGCAGCCTGTTCCAGCTGGTGAAGGTGGATGTTGGATACCAAAGGACATCAAGCAGTGCCCACAAAAGACCCTAGGGAGGGAATGCAGTTCATGGGGAAGGCTCAGGGATCACTGCCCCAGAGGAATGTGCAGCTTTGTGCAGGGCAATTCAGATGAACATTCACGTTTGGTACACAGAGCTCTGAGAGGGGTCTGTGCTGAGGCACACACAACCTACACAGTGCCCTCTAGGCACACACTTTCTAGTACAGTAGCCAGTAGCCACCCATGGCCATTTAAATTTAAACTAAAAATTTTAAAATGTTAAAGAGCTATGATTAAAGTGATCTTGAGAAAAGGATTAAAAAAAAAGAAGGCTGGGCGCAGTGGCTCACGCCTATAATCCCAGCACTTTGGGAGGCCCAGGCAGGTGGATCACGAGGTCAATAGATCGAAACCTTCCTGGTCAACAAGGTGAAACCCCGTCTCTACTAAAAATACAAAAATTAGCTGGGCATGGTGGTGCATGCCTGTAGTCCCAGCTACTCAGGAGGCTGAGGCAGGAGAATTGCTTGAACCCAGAAGGCGGAGGTTGCGGTGAGCCAAGATTGTGCCATTGCACTCCAGCCTGGGTAACAACAGCGAAACTCTGTCTCAAAAAAAAAAAAATGAAAAAATAATTTTAAAGCAGTTTCTCAGTTACATGAGCTATGTTTCAAGTGCTAAGAGCCACATGTGGCTAGTGGCTACCATAGTGAATAGTGCAGATGTAGAACATTTTCATCACTAGAAGTTCTGTTGAACTCTATTGTTCTAGGCCCTTTAAGAGAGGTCAGTGACATGCAGTGGCTCACGCCTGTAATCCCAGCAATTTGGGAGGCCAAGACAGGCAGATCACCTGATGTCAGAAGTTTGAGACCAGCCTGGCAAACATGGTGAAACTCTGTCTCTACAAAAATACAAAAATTAGCCAGGCTTGATGGCAGGTGCCTGTAATCCCAGCTACTGGGGAGGCTGAGGCAGGAGAATCGCTTGAACCTGGGAGGTAGAGGTTGCAGTGAGTCAAGATCGCGCCTCTGCACTCCAGCCTGGGTGACAGAGCAAGACTCCAACTCAAAAAAAAAAAAGAGAGAGAGAGGTCAACAGAGATGGCCTTGTGGCCAAGTCCATGAGAACAAATGCAAGAAACAAAACAAGGGCTCCTGCTGAGAGAACCACAGGGATGGCCAAGTTTGTCCGGCCACTTGGGAGCTTTGGGGAGCAGCATGAGTGACTTAACCTGAACTTTCTGCTTCCCTTCGTAGTCACTGGTAACATTTATTTCCAAACTCCTTGTTAATATAGTCATTTACTACTTGGGGGTATCAAATCACATAACTTAATTATCTATGATGTGCAACAAAAATGCAGCACAGCATCCTGGTTAAGAACATGGACTCCAGGCCTGGCGCGGTGGCTCGTGCCTGTAATCCCAGCACTTTGGGAGGCCTAGGTGGGCAGATCACCTGAGGCCGGGAGTTTGAGAACAGCCTGGCCAATATGGTGAAACCCATCTCTACTAAAAATACAAAATTAGCCAGGTGCGGTGGTGCGTGCCTGTAATCCCAGCACTTTGGGAGGCTAAAGCAGGTGAATCACCTGAGGTGTGGAGTTTGAGATCAGCCTGTCCAACGTGGTGAAACCCCATCACTACTAAAAATACGAAAATTAGCCGGGTATGGTGGCAGGTGCCTGTAATCCCAGCTACTTAGGAGGCTGAGGCAGGAGAATCACTTGAACCCGGAAGGCGGAGGTTGCAGTGAGCCAAGATCATGTCCCTGCACTCCAGCCTGGGCAACAGAGTGAGAACCAATCTCAAAAAAACAAACAAACAAAAACATGGACTCTGGAACCAAACTGCCCATGTCAGAACTCAGTTCCACAACTTACTAGAGTGACCAAATTATTCATTCTCATTCTCATAGAGACTGGGTAAAAAGGGGCTAAAAGGAATTCTATGAGGGTCACATGAAATAACATAAACAAAATGGTACCACAAAATAGTGAACACAATATATATTCGCTCCAATGTTCTCAAAACCTAATCTTATTTGGGTTTAAAAAAAAAAAAGGCCTCAGTGGAGACTTTTGGAAACTTGGTGAGTGTCCTTACTCACCGTACCCTTCCCTGCTTCCATTTTACAACTCTCCTTCTTCAAGCTCCCTCAGTCCTCCTAATCTTTTCAGGGCCCTACTCCTGGGGTGATGGCACATGGCTCTAGTGCAGCTGCCCAGAACCTGGTATCAGAGTATGAAGACTTTGATCTCAGGTGAAGCCATTCTCGTTTTTTATCTTTTTCTATCTTCTGTGCTTAGAGTTAGGCGCCCTAAGTACTAAGTGTTTCAGGAGGCTGGAATCTCATACAATGGAGGAAATTGTATGAGATTCCAGCCTCCTGAAATCTTATAAAATTTCCTTCATTGTATGCTTCTTTCTCCAAATCATTTCTCCAAATGATTTGGAGAAAGAAGCATGAGAAGCTAAAGATGCAGGAGTTGCCTACACTGGCTCTCATTTCGTGGTCATGCATTTGAACAGGCCCTGAGTGAAGGCTGAGGGCTGGTGTTCTGAGTGTTACCTGCTCGCAGACAAAGGGAAGTATAAGCCGGGCCCTGCCGGCTTCTCAGGACTGCGTGAGAAACAGAAGACATAATAAAAGCGCAATTTCCTATAAACTTAAATGCTTGAGGGCTGTTAGCAGTTTCCCTGCCCCGGCGGCTCCTTTAAGAGGCGGGGCGTTGCCAGGGTGCTCTGTGGCGTCGCATTCTCATTGGTGGGCGACGGCGAGGAGCACCTCCGAGGTAGCCATTTCCAACGAGCTGGCGGGGGCGAAAGATGGCGACGCCCCTCGGGTGGTCGAAGGCGGGGTCAGGATCTGTGTGTCTCGCCTTCGATCAACTGCGGGACGTGATTGAGTCTCAAGAGGAGTTGATCCACCAGCTGAGGAACGTGGTATGCAGCCAGAGGAGCTCGGGGAGATGGCGGGCTAGGGCCTGTTCCGATGCGGGGGCGTGGCTAGAATGCATGGCCCATGGCGTCATCAGGAGGAGGCCGGGCTCAGGGGCGGACCTTCCTGAACCAGGGAATTTTAACTAAAATCAAGCCAAATTCTCCATTCTGTTTGCCTGGTTGCTGCAAAAGCTGGTAGAGAGTCCCTGAGCCTCAGTTTCCTCATTTTCAGTGGAGACGACTTCACTGAGTTCCCATGGCCCTCGTGTGCAGGCAGAAAAACTGTGTCATCCCTTATGTTACGGACACCCTGCCCCAGAGTCAAAGGCAGTGCCATGCTGAATGCAATAAGCGCAGTTTTGGCCCTTGCCAACGCTAACTTAGGGGCCTCCAAGAACTTTACGTCCCTTAGCTTTTGCTTTCTCAATCAAACCCCAGCTAATGGGTGCAAAGCATTGCAGTCACAGATTACTTGGGTAGGCGTGATAGAATCCTAACCAGCTGGAGTTCATGGTTTTTCTGTCTTGATAAGAACGTTGGGATGTGTCTCCATCTCAGAAATAAAACTGGCTTCACATCTATTTCTCACTCTAAGTTGTTCTTAGACAGTTTATTCCCTTCTGGGAAGCTGAATGTGGGGGAAAGGGGAGAGAGGTCCTATTTGCCACCCTAATGCTGATATTCAACAAAAGGTATGGAACTCTAGGCACTGAATTGCCTTTGATTCCCAGAAAGTACCCAAGTCTTTCTCTTGGCAGCTGACCTTGGCATGTGTGTCCTCACCATCCAGAGTGCTTTTCTCTCAATCTCTCTTCTGGCCTACTGTATATAGCAGTCAGATCTCAGGTCTAACGTCCCCTTCTCTGGAAGAGATTCTGACCCTTCCCCAGGCTGGGCCAGGGGCCTCCTCTGGGCCCAGATCCCCTTATGTCTACCCATCAAGGCACACGATATGTTAGAAGTGCTGGCTGTGGACTGCCTCCTTCATGAGACCGGCTGTTCCTTGAGGGCAGCACTTAGAGCTGAATCTCAGTTTATCTGTGGAACTGAATTCTCCTTTCTCAGGGCCTCAGTCTCATCCGAGGTACCATGAGCATCATCCTATTATCCATTTTTGGTCCTGGTCCCTAGAGGGCACCCCTTCTACCCCAGCTCCAAGCCCTCACTCAGCCAGGCTCTATTGCAGATGGTTCTCCAGGATGAAAATTTTGTCAGTAAAGAAGAGTTCCAGGCAGTAGAGAAGAAGCTGGTGGTAAGTAATGGCCTCTGCAGGCTCCTAATCTTCCCTCATTTCCCAGGACCCCTGTGGTTAGGAAGGCTCATTAAGTATTGGCCTCTGATGGGTTCAGTGGCTTGCTCCTGTAATCCTAGCACTTCGGGAGGCCAAGGTGGTAAATCACTTGAGGTCTGGAGTTCTAGACCAGCCTGGCCAACATGGTGAAACCCTGTCTCTACTAAAAAAAAAAAAAAAAATTAGTCAAGCATGCATGGTGGCAGGTGCCTGTAATCCCAGCTACCTGGGAGGCTGAGGCAGGAGAATTTCTTGAACCCAGGAGGCGGAAGTTGCACTGAGCTGAGATCATACCACTGCACTCCAGGATAGGCAACACAGTGAGACTCTGTCTAAAAAAAATAAAAAAAGAAAGGTTGGCCTCTGAGAACCTCCTGCCCCAGTAGCAAGGCCAGAATCTCCCTGTGTTCTGGCTTCTATGTGTCCCTTTGAGAAAGGGGGCTGGTTAGGGGGGTCTAGGAGACCTAAGGCAGCCTAGGGTAATGAGGTGACTGCTATTGCTCCTGCAGGAAGAGAAAGCTGCCCATGCTAAGACCAAGGTCCTCCTGGCCAAGGAAGAGGAGAAATTACAGTTTGCCCTCGGAGAGGTAGAGGTGCTGTCCAAGCAGCTGGAGAAAGAGAAGCTGGCCTTTGAAAAAGCGTGAGTGGGCCTCAGAACAGGGGTGGGGTTTGGGGGATGCATCTGCTTGCCAACCTGCCCACCCTCCCATCTTATCTTCCCCACCAAGGCTCTCCAGTGTCAAGAGCAAAGTCCTACAGGAGTCCAGCAAGAAAGACCAGCTCATCACCAAGTGCAATGGTAGGCGAGAGGCCTGTGCTCCCCACCACACTTATATAAATGGGCTCTTTCCTAACCGCCCAGTGCCTGTGTCAAAGGCAGGGTTTCACTCTAACACCTGTCCCCAGCTGAGGATACAGGCAGGCCCAGGTGGGCCACACCTTCGAAAAGGCCTTAAGGGACCAGGCAGGCCACGGAAATGAAGGAAGCAGTCGGTGTACTATATTCTTCACCACCATAAAGAAATGGGCTTGCTCCCATTTTTCCTGAAACATACGACCTTCTTAGTCCACCTTTTGTTTTCCCACTTTGATGGGTTAAAAATAGTGCACTTTACTCCTAACTCTGATACAAGAGGAACACAGGGTAAGCACTGTCCTATTTGGGAGCTGACCCTTAGTCTCAGGCTCAGGACTCAACAGGGAAGGGTACACATGCTGATAGGGGGCCAGGATTACCAGATCTTTAAAATGGAAATAAGGTTGTTTTTATTTTTAATTATTTTATTTTATTTTATTTTGAGACAGACAGAGTCTCGTTCTGTTGCCCAGGCTGGAGTGCAGTGGTGCAATCTTGGCTCACTGCAACCTCCGCCTCCCAGATTCAAGTGATTCTCCTGCCTCAGCCTCCTGAGTAGCTGGGATTATAGAGGCATGCGCCACCATGCCAGTTAATTTTTGTATTTTTAATAGAGACCAGGTTTCGCCATGTTGGCCAGGCTGGTCTCAAACTCCTGACCTCGTGATCCACTTGCCTCGGGCTCCCAAAGTGCTGGGCTCACCATGCCTGACTATCTTTATTTTTTTAGGACTAGCTATCACTATGTTGCCCATGCTCAAGTTCCTGGGCTCAAGTGATCTACCCACCTCAGCTTCCCGAGTAGCTGGAACTGCAGGTATGAGCGACCAGGCCCAGGGAAACCAAGTTTTGTTTTGTTTTTTGTTTTTTTTTTTTTTTTTTTTTTTTTTGTCTTTGAGACAGAGTTTCACTCTGCCACCCAGGCTGGAGTGCGGTGGTGCGATGTTGGCTTACTGCAACCTCCACCTCCCGAGTAGCTGGGACTATAGGCGTGTGCCACCATGCCCGGCTAATTTTTGTATTTTTAGTAGCGACAGGGTTTCACCATGTTGACCAGGATGGTCTGGATCTCCTGACCTCGGGATCCATTCGCCTTGGCCTCCCAAAGTGCTGGGATTACAGGCATGAGCCACCACGCCCGGCCTGTTTCTTTTTTGTTTTTTTGAGACAGAGTCTTGCTCTGTTGCCTAGGCTGGAGTGCAGTGGCACACGGCTCACTGCAACCTCCATCTCCCCAGTTCAAATGATTCTCCTGCCTCAGCCTCCTGAGTAGCTGGGATTACAGGTGCACACCACCACACCCAGTTAATTTTTGTATTTTTAGTAGAGATGGGGTTTCACCATGTTGGCCAAGCTGGTCTTGAACTCCTGACCTCAGGTGATCCGTCTGCCTCAGCCTCCCAAAGTGCTGGAATGACAGGTATGAGCAACTGCGCAGCCAAAACCAAGTTTTAAGGGAAGTTTTTTTGACTTTTTAGTATTGGCAGCTGATTTTGAAATTTTAAAACTATTGTGTAGGCCAACTATTGTGTGGGCTCCCAGTTTTCAGCTCTGCTCTATACAGATGCCTACAGGCCACTCATTGGCTCAGTTGGTGCTGTAAGTTGTGGAGCACCTTTAGAATCAGCTACCCAGTGCCCCTACACCTCAGGAGCCTGTCTCACTTCCCAGAATGCTAAACTCCCCTTACACAGTTTAAGAAGAAGGTATGAATTCCAGATGCAACATCTGCTTCGTTCACTTTAGTAGATCTCCAGTAGGCCAGAGCCCAAGTGCAAGAGGTTCAAGGTCCTTCCTGGTGGGGCTCCCACCTGGAGCCTTGGATACCCTGCCTTCCACCAGTCCAGACTTCTCTCTCCCCTGGTGAGTGCTCTCACTGGGAAGATGCCAGCAAACATCTTGATCTGGCCAGGCAGGCTGACAGGTCTCATAGTAGTTTGGTCACCAGCTCTTGCCAGGGCAGGGTCCAACAGGCAGTCACTGCCCCCCATGCCCAAGGCCATTGGTACCCTCAGTCTTGCTCTCTCTGTGGGCATTCCCTTACTTCCCAAAAAAGAACCTGGGGTTCCTTCCTAGTGGGGCCAGAGACATCCTTCCTCTAGGCCATTTCACTCCAACAGAGATCAGTCAAGACCACAGGGCTTTGGATCTGCTTGTTGGAAGGTGTGTGTGTCATGGGGACAGGTCCTGGCTACCTCACCCAAAATATTCTAAACCTCTCCAGTGGGACACAAGCCCTCCTGAGCCAATCTGGTGATGTGGACCTCACCCTGGCCAGTGCCTTCCACTCCACTCCATCCCTACAAACTACCCTTGAGTGGTTTCAGTCTGGTTTTTACATAGTTCTTTACTTTCAAAGAGATTTTCTTTTCTTTTTTTTTGAGACGGAGTTTCGCTCTTGTTACCCAGGCTGGAGTGCAATGGCATGATCTCGGCTCACCACAACCTCCGCCTCCTGGGTTCAGGCAATTCTCCTGCCTCAGCCTCCTGAGTAGCTGGGATTACAGGCACGCACCACCATGCCCAGCTAATTTTTTGTATCTTCAGTAGAGACAGGGTTTCACCATGTTGACCAGGATGGTCTTGATATCCTGACCTCATGATCCACCCGCCTCGGCCTCCCAAAGTGCTGGGATTACAGGCTTGAGCCACCGCGCCCGGCCTTTTCAAAGAGATTTTCTAACCATTCTCTCATCATCGGGTACCACAGCCTTTTATTTTCAGAGTCACATTTATTTCTAATTCTTTTTCCCAAACGAACTTCACAAGTAATACCAAGTAGCTGGATGGCCTGGGCAGGAAGTTCAAGAGTCCTCACTCCATGGCCTGGTGAACTCATGTCTTCATTCTCTCCTTATACCTGTCTCTCTTTTCCATGCTGTGCCTTATCTTAAGTGCTTAGACATTTCTGTATTTTCAGAGTTTGTGTTCTAGTTAATCAATCCATGTCCAACCTATTTTTTTAAAGACGGGGTTTCACCATGTTGGTCAGGCTGGTCTTGAACTCCCGACCTCAGGTGATCCGCCCGCCTTGGCCTCCAAAGTGCTTGGATTACAGGCGTGAGCCACTACGCCTGGCCACCTATTTTTTTTTTTTTTTGAAACAGAGTCTCACTTTGTCACCCAGACTGAAGTACAGTGGCATAATCCCAGCTCACTACAACCTCTGGCTCCCAGGTTCAAGCAATTCTCCTGCCTTAGCCTCCAAGTAGCTGGGACTATAGGCATGTGCTACCACACCTGGCTAATTTTTGTACTTTTAGTAGAGACAGGGTTTTACCATAATGACCAGGCTGGTCTCAAACTCTGACCTCAGCTGATCCAACCACCTCAGCCTCCCAAAGTCCTGGGATTATCGGTGTGCGCCACCATGCCCTGCCCCTTGTCCAACCTTTAAAGACAGTAGGATTTTCTTTCTGTGGGAATCAGAATTTTCCTGGGCACCATGAGGAGCAGTTATAAATGAAGCACCCCCTGATCCATGCAGCCTCCTTGGATTTTGAGCCAACACAGAAAAATTATCTTTTATTTATTTAGAGACAGGGTCTTGCTCTGTCACCCAGGCTGGAGTGCAGGGGCACAGTCATAACTCACTGCAGCCCTAACTCCTGAGCTCAGGTGATCCTCTTGCCTCAGCAAGCAGCTAGGACTACAGGTACGTTCCACCACCATGCCCAGCTAATTTTTTTTTTTTTTAGTTTTGTAGAGGTGAGGTCTCACTATGTTGCCCAGACTGGTCTCTTATTCCTGGGCTCAAGCCATCATCCTGCCTCAGAGAGTCATCTTTGCATCAAATGTGCAATTAATTTGGGGGTAGGCTTTGTGCCACCACTATCTCACTGGGTCCTCCCCACACCACCATGGGATAGGGCTGTCTGTCTCCCCATCTTTGAGATGATGAAACAGGTCTGAAAATCGAGGCAACTCCATCTTCTCCCATCACCCCTGAAGCCCTAGCACAGGGCTGGGCATCCAGCCAGCCTTCAGGAGGTTTGGTTGGACTGGGATGACTGAACTAAGTCATGCTTCTAAGTCCTAAAGCCCCAGGGACATCCCATTCATTCGGTCTGGAAATACACTTTCTGTACACCTACTATGTGCTCAGTACTGTTTTAGGCCTTAGGGATAAAGCTATGAATAAGACAAAGATCCCTGTCCTTGTGTACCTTACACCCCAGTAATGGAGAAGACAGATGAGTAAAATATATGGTATGTTAGGTAAAAGTGTTAAGAAAAATAAATCAGGAAGAGGGAGTAGGCAGTACTGGGAAATGTAATTTTTGATGAGGGAGAGTCTCTCCAAGGAGGCAACATCTGTAAAGACCTGCAGGAGTTGAGGGCAGGTGCCATTCATCCTCCTGCCTTTGGACAGGACTGCCCACCTCTCTCTAAGGACCTTCTCCTGCCCTCATGTGGGTCCTCTGGTCCAGAATAGGCTTGTGAAGTCATTGACAACAGTCCTCAAACACTGCACTCCCCCAAGACTGCACAATAAACTCATTCATACTAAGGTAGTAGCAGTTCTTCCTGGAGAACTCCTGGGTGGGGAGCCAAGCTCTGAAAAGCCCCATGAGGGAATGCCTTATCTCAGGAAGGAGCCCTTGGGATGGGAACCACCCCTCCTCCCTGCCTCTCTCCCCCACAGAGATTGAGTCTCACATTATAAAGCAAGAAGATATACTTAATGGCAAAGAGAATGAGATTAAAGAGTTACAGCAAGTTATCAGCCAGCAGAAGCAGATTTTCAGGTGAGGGGTCTGGGCCCGGCCGGGGATGTTGATGACACTGAGGAGCCAGATCTCTGTCCCCTACCTACCCTGGGCTGTCCACAGCCCACCACCAGCTGGCTCCATTGCAGGAATCATATGTCTGACTTCCGGATCCAGAAGCAGCAGGAGAGCTACATGGCCCAGGTGCTGGACCAGAAGCATAAGAAAGCCTCAGGAACACGTCAGGCCCGCAGCCACCAGCATCCCAGGGAAAAATAAAATGGCCACTGCCTTCCTGGTCTCTGGCTGTAATCCCCAGCCTCTGCCTTCTCTGCTCTTGGAGTCCCCAGCCTCTAGCCCCTGCTATTTCCCTCCCTCTTGGGCAGTAGTAGGGGTCCACAGAGTAGGGGCTTATAGCCTAGGGGAGGAGCTGGGTCTTTGTTGTCTGGTAGGCACCACCCCTTCTTTGGGTATTTAATCCCTTCCTATATAAACAGCCCTTATTACCCAGTAACATCACACCCCACTCTCAGTGTCCTGGTAAATTTAACTCTTTCAACTTGACTACAGGGCAAGAAGCCCTGACCAGAAACTTCAAAGACGGGGGGTTCCAGAACTACAAGGAATTTGGGAAGTCAGTTTCCATTACATAACAATAATGTTATACCTGCAAATCGAATTTGTACCTGCTGATACCTCCCCCCAACACATGGGAGCTTCACCAATGGGAGGAAGGGAAAAGACTGCTGTGTCTGGTTTTCAGGTGGAGAAACAATCTGGGAAGGGAGCTGGACTTGCTCAAGTTGCATAGGCAGGGCTGGATGGGATGGGCTGGCTACATTCTTTCAGAAGCTGTCACTCAGTGTCCCCTAGGTGATCATGGGGACACACGCAGGCAGGGGACCCACTTCAGGGGTCCGTTTAGCCCAGTGTAGCCTGTCCTGGGTCAGTTTAAGGCTGAGTGCACAGGAGGGGCCGGTGCTCTTGCTCCAGAGCCAGCTGGGGCCTGAGTCATAGCAGGACCTTGAAGCCAGAAGTTTCAGGGCAAGTGGTGCCCACTGTTGTAAGACAATGACAGGTGGTAGCTGCCTCCCCACCAGCTCCTGTCTCCCGGGCAGGTTCTAAGGCTATGGAGGCTGAAATGAGGACCTTGTGAGTATCTTGGGGGTCACAGGGCTGTTCTGACCTCCAGGTGCTTTGGATCTGGGACCACAAGCTACTTCGAAGCTTCCCATGGGGCCCAACTTTGGTATCAAGGGCCTGTTTTAGTAGCTGAGGCAGACTGAAAGCTAGAGCTGTCCACTCCAGCCCCTTCCAATATGTCCCACTGAGGGCAATGGGTCCAGCCAGGGGTAGCACCTTCCTGGGGCCCTGAGGCACCAGGGAGGCCTCTAGCAGTGCTGCTTACTCTGCTGAAGGTTGGGGATTGGGGAGAGTGTAACTGGGGTCAAGGAAGGTGGTGGGTGCACCCTTAGGAGCTCTAGCTGAGGCCAGCAATGGTGATGGGGGTCCCCTGCAGTGAAGTTAAGACACCCAGGGCTGAGGGGAAGATGAAATTGCTTGCACTACCTGAGTCGCCCAGCCTGAAGGCCTGGTTCCCCGGCTCACAGCCTGAACCGCACACAGCAGTGCCTGACTTCAGGTGGATCACTGCTGGGCCTCAGTTTCCTCACCTGTGATGGGTGGAGTTGGGCCTAACTCCTGGCTCCAAGGCTTCAGAAGGTGGGCCTGCCGTTCCCTCACCTGCTTGTCAGCCAAAGCTTGGAGCCCACACCGGGTGCTCTGGCTTGTGCCTGAGAAGGGGGTTGGTTGGACATGGAGGCTGGAGAGGGAAGGGTGCAGGGCCCAGGTCTCTCCTGCTGCCGGCGCCGCTGGCTCAGGAGTGGACGCGGCCGCTTTAAGGCGCGGTGACCCCACGGCATCCTCGGGCGGGGCGGGGACAGTGCCGGCGCCACCAGAGGAGGCGAATGCGAGGGAGGTAGTGCGCGGCGTCCGGCCACACCATGCTGACCGCGCTCGCCCCGCCAGCCCTGCCTAGGATCCCGAGACAGCTGCCCGCGGCCCCCGCACGGCGCCAGGACTCCTCCGGTTCGTCAGGCTCCTACCACACGGCTCCGGAGAACCCGGAGCCCCCGGACGTTGGGCCGGACGCGGAAGGCCCAGCGAATTGGCCCTGGGTGGCCCTTGGGCGGGGGGCGGGCGCGCAGCCTCGCCTGTCCATCAGCGCCCAGAATAGCTGCCAGCGCCACAGACCCGGCTCGGGTTTCCCTCGAGGCCCGGGCTCCGGCCCACGGCCACCCCAGCCCCAGCTGCGGACGCTGCCGTCGGGGGAGATGGAAGTCATCTTCGGCGTCGGACCCCTGTTCGGCTGCTCCGGCGCAGAGGATAGCAAGGCGCAACAACAACTCACGGAGCCGGCCTTCAGCAGCCCCTTGCCGCCGGGGCCAGCGTCTCCCGCCCCGGTCCCTCGCCAGTCCCAAGCCCCCGACGGTAGCTCCCGCTGGGCCACCTACCTAGAGCTGCGGCCCCGCGGGCCAAGTCCTGCCGCCCCAGCGCAGTTCGAGTGTGTGGAGGTGGCTCTGGAGGAGAGCGTCGCGCCAGCCAGGACCCGGACGGTGCCCAAGCGTCAGATCGAGCTGCGCCCGCGGCCCCAGAGTCCCCCACGGGCGGCCGGCGCGCCGCGCCCCCGGCTGCTTCTGCGCACCGGCTCCCTGGACGAGTCGCTGGGCCGCCTGCAGGCCGCCGCGGGCTTCGTGCAGACAGCGTTGGCCAGAAAACTGAGCCCAGAGGCCCCGGCCCTGAGCAGCAACACCTTCGGGCCCACGAGGCCGTCGGATCCTGCGACCCGGGAAACGGCTCGCAGCACCCGCGTGGTCCTGGAAAAGGCTAAGTCTCGGCCACTTCGCGTACAAGATAATTTGGCCTCCGCCAAAGCCCCGAGGCCGTGGCCCAGCCTCCGCGAGCGCGCAATTCGGCGCGACAAGCCTGCTCCCGGGACCGAGCCGCTGGGTCCTGTTAGCTCCAGCATCTTCCTTCAGTCAGAGGAGAAGATCCAGGAGGCACGGAAGACTCGGGTCCCGAGAGAAAGGCCGGATCGAACTGTCCAGAAGGCATGGAGTCCGCCTGTTGAGTGTAGGGTCCCCTCGGAGGTTCCGAGTAGGGCTGTGAGGCCAAGGAGTCCGTCCCCGCCATGGCAGGCTCCAAATGGGGTTGTACGGGGTCCTCACTGCCCGTCCCCCCAGAACCTGTCCCCGTGGGATCGGACTACTCGGAGGATGAGTAGCCCGTCGTTCCCTGAAGCTTCCACCACGTGGGAAAATCAGAATTCCGCCGACGAGGAAACTGTCAGCAGAAGCCCTTCCCCTCCGACCCTTTCCCAGCGGAATCAGTGTGTTGCAGGAGAAAGGGGTCCACCCCTCGAAGCCCCTTCCCGGTGGGAGATTCCACATTCGGCAGTCGGGGATGCGGTGGAGCCACGTAGCAGCCCGTCCCCGCTGGCCTTCTTGCCGTGGGAGGCGCCAGATCCTCCTGTTGGAACTTGGAGCCGGTCACCCCAAGAGACGTGGGATCCGATGGGGCCGGGCTCATCGATAGTATTTACTCAGGAAGCTCAGAATGGGTTAACTCAGGAGGAGTTGGCACCATCTACACCGTCAGCACCCGGGACTCCAGAACCAACAGAGGTGCAGAGTCCATCCACGCGGGAGATTCCGGATCTTGCCTTTGGAAGCAGACAGCCTTCCCCAGAGGTGGCAGCACCTGAGCCGCCCGGCAGTCACCTTGTGGGCACCCTGGACTCCGATAAGTGCCCAGAAGTCTTGGGTCCTGGGGAAGCGGCCTCGGGACGCCCGCGCGTGGCCATTCCGCGGCCTCGAGACGTGCGAAAATTGGTGAAGACCACGTACGCGCCAAGCTTCCCTGCGGGAACCCTAGGCTTGGGGCTGCCTGCGCCTCCTGCCGACACCTGCGGGGAGGAGGGCGGTGAAGCCAAGACGCAAGAGCTGCCGGCGCTGGGGCCCCCCGCCCCGGCTCACTACACTTCGGTTTTCATCAAGGACTTTCTACCGGTCGTGCCGCACCCCTACGAGCCTCCAGAGCCGTCCTTCGACACGGTCCCCCGCGACGCCTCACAGCCCAACGGGGTCCTGCGGCGGAGGGCAGAGAACAGCACCGCGAAGCCCTTCAAGCGCACAGAGATCCGCCTGCCTGGGTCCCTGGCCTTGGGTCGCCGGCCCGAGGTAACCCCTGGAGTGCGAGCGCGCGGCCCAGGCGGCGAAAACCGGGATGCAGAGGCCCAGCACCTTGTTCCCGACGGCGAGGGTCGGACGAGCCCCCTAGGCGGCGACCGCCGCTCATCCCGGCGCTCCCCCATAGGGCCAGCAGGGGCCCCATCGCCCCGCCCCAGCTCCCCTCAGGTGCACCCCAGCCCGAGCCCTGGGATAGTACCCAAACCGAAGACACCACCTACGGCCCCCGAGCCAGCGGCTCCAGTCCAGGCGCCACTCCCGCGGGAGCCCCTGGCGTCGGCTGCCAGGATGGCCCCCGCCCAGCCCCGCGCTGCCTCGGCGCCTCCTACGGACGGGTCCCCGCAAAGCCCCTCCCAGGGAGCGCGCAGGGCGCCCGGGGCCCCGCCCCCAGGGAAGATCTTGGTGGACCCAGAGAGCGGCCGCTACTACTTTGTGGAGGCACCGCGGCAGCCTCGGCTAAGGGTGCTCTTCGACCCCGAGAGTGGGCAGTACGTGGAGGTGCTGCTGCCGCCTTCATCCCCCGGGCTGCCCCACCGCGTCTACACCCCTCTGGCCCTGGGGCTCGGCGGCCTCTACCCGCCTGCCTATAGGCCTATCCCCAGCCTCTCCCTGCCACCGTCCCCGGGCCCGCAGGCCCTCGGCAGCCCCCAACTACCGTGGGCCTCTGAGGCAGGGCCCCTGGACGGGACCTACTACCTGCCGGTGAGCGGGACCCCCAGCCCCGCACCTCCTCTGCTCCTCTGTGCGCCGCCCTCCAGCTCGGGTCCTACTCAGTCTGGGAAGGGCTCCTTGTTCCCGCTGTGAGGCCCCAGCCCGATACCCATGGAGTTGGAACCCTTGGATGGCCTGGGAGGTTCTGGAATTCAAGCCCCTACCCTCCTCTCCTTCCGTCACCTCCGTCTTTAACCCATCCCAGCCGGTCGTCGGACGGGAAGTGATCTTTAGAGAATGAATCCGAGCCCCGAGGCTAGTGGAGCTGGAGCTCACCGAGGAAGTGGTTGCCTACTTCCTTCCCCAACAAAATTATGTATCCCTTTCCCAGGCATTCGCAGGGTGTGGTGTGGTTTGGTGTGTGAGTGTGTATATGTGTATGTGCAGGCAAGCAAATAGGGAAAGTGAGGCATCCCTGGTGCTTGTCCCCAGGAACCAATCAGAGGAGGTGCTGGGGCTGCCCCGGGGCAGCAGGAACGGGAGCAGCAGGAGACAGGGAAGGGAACTGTCTGGCCTCCCTGATGGCGGGCCCA